GCTCTGATCTTTCACAAAAATGTGTCTCAAAATATAAGCGTTACTCCCTGCATCGCCTTTCCCCTCAGGTCTGTACGTCTAAAACGCTGGCATGTTGACCTCAGGTCGAGCATTAGGTCGGTATTTTAAGGACCCTTACATTCCCATTTGACAACTCGGTAAACCAAGGCTGACACAAAGAATTAGTGAACACAAGAGTTGCATCAGAAGCAGTGGTGTCAGCTATTGTGTTGTCCCTCACTTTAATGGGTAGTTAAATACATTGAAATTGTTTTAAGATGCATATATCCATGGTATCATTTACCAGATGAAAAACTGAGAAGTGCTTCTCTTTTGAATTTGTTTCACCTAATGCCGGCACAATGTAAATATGTACATTGCAATATATTTGTAATGACATACCCATCAGCTTTAGCTGTATTTGTTGTTTATTGCTATTTAACAAATGTGAACATGCAAATATGATTAAAAAAAAGAAGGTGAACCCCGTAAACAAGCCAGGTTGAGTGGAGCTCAAAGCCCTGCTGTGCTTAAACACACATGGAGCTGATGGATGTGGTCATCTCATCTGCTTTTGCTTCTCAAACCCATAAATGATGGCAGCAGGATGAGAAATCACACTATAGGTTTTTGCAAAGAAAGAACATTGTGAAAATGTCATTTTGAAATAATGATTCAATATCAGAAGATAGAGAATAATGATAATGATAATAATCTTTTTTGGCTATTTCCAGACACCATCTTTATTCAGCTGATAAAAAGAAATTTGCAAAACAGGTTACATATCCTTTCTTGTTTTAATATGCTGCTCGCTGCAATATATTTAGTTGCAGGCGGAAAGAAAAGTCTTTGAGGAAACAGAATGTCTCTTCAAGACAGCAGTGAGTGTAGTTAAATGACCTGCGGCGTATTTGAAAGTCTGGCGTGCAATTTATCTCTGACAAAAACAGATGCTATGGATATGTGAGTCGAATGTAATCATCAATGCCGTTCAAACTGTCTATATAATGAATACAAGTGAGGCACAGAAACGTCTGTATTGCGCGGACAAAACAAGATACTTTCTTTCGCAGCATTGACGGCGCTTACATTTAAACAATGAGCACACATTTCCTTCATCCGATTTTTTCCAACATTTGCAAACGCAGATATTATTTACCCTCACTGCTTCTCACCACACCTGTCGTGACTGAGTGTGCTCTCAAAAGCTTTTGGCTTTGTGGGACAGTCGGCGCTTTGGGGCACTAATTGTGGCTGTCAGATATACGGAGGTCAAATGGCCCTGCTAAAAGCTCTCTCAAGTCATACAGGTTGCAATTTCCTGCGACGTTACAGAAACTTGAAAAGAATATGGGAGGAAAGAAATTGCTCGTAATAAGCTACCGAGCCAGGTTAGCAATCAACGACCTATAGCAAGCAATCGCACAGCTGCCACGTCCGTGGAAAGGGAACCCAATCGCATTTACTTACACCACCCTTACCTATCGCTCTGTGAAGCCTGAAACGCATGTATGAGACAAATGATTACCTTTTTTCCCCTTGCTTTCACTCAGCAATGATTCTTTTATGTGCTATCGTGTTTGTCTTCTGGTGAGGATACATTTTCTGTAGCCTAGAAAATAGTCAAATGATCCGGGAAGACTTTTCGTTCCCTGCGGGACCTTTTATCCAGCAAACACATCTTTCGTACTATGAATTGGAGAATTTTGTTCTACATTAGAGCCCCAGAGGAAACTCTAGATCACACAGCAGTTATCGCAGAATGTGTACAAAGGGTTTTATTTTCACGTCTGAATTGGCTTGACATTGGTTGTGTTCCCATGAGACAGAATACAATTGACATTGATGACCTCTCTCTCGCCACAACCCTCCATGTCTAACTGATCTGCCTCTAAAAGTCTCTAAAATGTCTCACACGTGGCGCTAAATTGGCATTCAAATTAAATTTCATCTCCACATTCTGGTTTCCAAGAGGAACAAACCTATTGGTTGGGTATCACCCATGAAACCTTTACTCTACAATACTGTCAGGCTACACTTTCAGTTTATAAACCTGTGCCCCCAAAGGCAGAATTCCCTACATCAAGATAATCTTTAAGTTTAGAAAGGTTAAATCCCCAAACCCTGTATTTGGTCTTCAAACTTTGTAAACTCTGTAAACTAGCCCATTTAGAACACAACATGCAGAGCAAAAACATTTCCTAAACAACTTTAATCATGGTGTTGTATTCTTATGTGAAGCCTTTTAGATCTTTAGGGATGTTACACTTGTAGAGGCATTTTGAATCTTGATGCGTTTATGGACAATAAATGAAGACAGGCACACAATACCGCCTTTCACTCGGCCAAATAACGCCCAATGAAGGAATCACAAATCCAATCGGATTTGTGATTTCATTGAGGCCATTTCTTTATTACACCTCATGACTTCATATACCCAACTAGTATCCAATAAAGCAGGAGGTGTGAAAAGAGAGTTCCTTTAAAAGAAAGCGCGGTTTCCGAGCAGTGATGTCAGTTTCACTGCAGTGGAAGTGGTCACCTTATTGCTATTGTTATAACTATTGTTCCCTTGATTAATCACATTCGATATTAGTCAGCACACTAAATCACTGTCAAGCATCGAGCCTTGAGTCAAGCCATGTGAACACGAATGGCACGAAGAAGTCAGCTGCCTAAAGACCGTTTGTTTGGACCTGTCAAACACAGGGGTTTCTAACTGCGTTTATCCTGACGGCTCGCTGTCTGGGTCTGCTAAACTTCTCTGGTTGCTACGATAATGTTATTACTTACACCAGTCGTGCTGGACAACATCTCACGGTAGATGCCACCGATCGGGTAAATTGGTGTGTTCTTTGACACAATAATAAGCAAATGAAATGAAAACCAAGCACTAGGACAATGAGCGGGGGGAAAAACAAAACTGAAAATAAACACACAAGAATTGCATCCAGTTTCCACAGATCTGGTGTCACTAAGCGTCTCAAACAATGACTATTGTTGAGGGCTCGTAATAGGCAGGCATAAAAATACAAAATGCTGAGGCCGCCTATAGCACCGAGCTGAGGTCTTTTTCTTTCCCTCTCCTCTTTTCTCGTTTCAATCTCTTGTCTCTTTTACCGTTTGGCTGAGTCAGACCTCCCACACAAAAGTGGCTTATTGTCAAAGTGAGAGGAGAGTTTTACGGTGGATAAGAGAGAGGTAGAAGTAAAGATAGAAATAGCAACGGGATTTAGTCCGTATCAGCTCTCTGAAAGCAGCTTGAATCCCTTTCTCCCTTGTTGGAATGACTTCTTGCACAGTGACCTTCCTGCTCCCTCCTAGGATCTCGATCCATTTAAACTAAAAGTTCCTCATTGTCACAGGGCAGATCAACAGCTTGTTGGCAATCTGACCAACCAGTGCCTAAGATACAGACCTTCACTTTTGGCTGAAGATGAAGTGAAAAACAATGCAAGTGCAGTACAATCACAGCATTGCTATTTTGGTGCTTTTGTATCTGACTCACGACTTAACAAGGAACCGCTTCTATCCCAGTGGGCATTTGATACATTTCATTTCGAGTAACAGCTCATATCAAATTTGATGAGCATGGCACAATGCCGCCTGAAATGGAGTGCATAATCCTGTAAACAGGACACAGGCCGAGAATTCTGGTTTTATCAGGAAGCTGTGCCCTTTTCCAAGGTGCTTCCTTGGCCTGGAAATACTTTACTTTCCTCTTAAAAATCCCACCATGCACCAGTCTGCATTAGTCTCACCATTCAACTCTGTTGTTGTATTAGTGACATCTGACTTTTACAGTGTAGTTGGTATTGGTACTTGGTATGTGGTCCACAGACAAACTAAATATGTAAATGAGTATCATCAGAATGAACCACACACATCTTGCCTGGCCAACAGGCCTGATTCAAGAAGGTGACGATCTCACACAGATTGAATCTGAGTTATACCACCAGTTTGTGTTGGTTCTGCCAAGTATGGATACCCAGCAGCAATGTTTGTGAAAGGCCAACATTAAATAATTGAGGTCTGCATTCCTACTTATTTGCCCTACATGACTCTAATATGTCTAAAAATAAGGGCAGCTGTACTTATCTTCCTTTATAATGAGCCCGTATTGAAGATACAGACCATACCGTTTAGCTCAAGGGTGTATAAACAGTGCACTACTGCATCTGTGACACATATGGGTTGCTGGGGCCAAGAGTCCTGAGATGTTACTATTTCAAGGACTTAATCAGATACCTTTGACAAAACAACAAGCGTTTGACATTTTGTCTCCCAAACCTGCTCATTAAAAAAATGAATCCTTCAAGGTAACTTCCAACTCGTCAGTGGTATCAGTGCACACAGTGCAAGCTACGGCAAAGCGCAGCCAAGCTGTGTTGACCTGAGGGGGAACCGGATGGTGGGTTGGTTTTTTTACTTTTTTTTTATCGGCTTTAACCGCTGCATCAGCGCATGGTTGAGCACCGGCTACAAGCCGACTGGTGGGGCTCACATATCCGCTAAAAAGGAAAACACAGAGCCGGCCCGGCGCAGAGGAGATGGAAATACAACACTCAGAGATGGAGAGTGACTTCGGTGTCGACTCAGGTAGACGTTACCCCCCCCAAGTCTTTGTGGGTATATTAATAGGTAGGTATGACTCAACTTGGGGTTTACAAAAAAGAATGCTTACATTGTGATAGTCCAAACATCTCCTCCGTTATATTTACCATCCTGCGTTATTAGTATTATTAAGTGGGAGAAAAGGAATCAGTGCTAACACAGGGGCCATTATGCAGGTGACACCAGACACCCATTTCAGCCTCGAATGTACCAAGAGGAAGCCGCTTCTCTTAATATTGAACTAACTCGTTATCATTTGCATTTTGATTAGTTTACCACCAGAGTGCCAACCGGAGCCGGTATACAGGCCAACATCCCTCAGGCCCTCGGGGCCCGCCAGCAAGCGGCGCCTCTTCCCGCCCCCCTCCTCCTCTTCCTCCTCCTCCTCCTCCTCAACTCTCCGCGGCCGCCGCTGAAAATGTCCACAGAGGATCGAGTTACACTACGCCCCATCTTTAAGCCCCGGTCCGCGGGGCAGTGCGCCGTTAGCCAGCAGCACAACCAGAGGACAGGGCCGCGGGACGCACCGGGCTTCGCACTCATGTAAGTGATTCTGCTTTGCTTTTTTTCGGACGCGTTCCAGGCGGGACGACGGCGAGTTAATGGAGGGTTTGTTGGCTGTACGACGACGACGACGACCTGGGCCAGAGGCGAGTTGCTCGCTTCAATGTCGCTAATGAGACGGGGAATGTTCGGAGGCGCCTGTTGTCGCGGCGGGTTCACCGAGAGGGGAAACAACGGGCTTTAAAGTGTTTCTGTTTTAAGCTTAGGCGTATTTTTGTTCGTCACTAAGTAACCACTAAGAGCGTTCGAAAGAAAAAACACCAAAACACCAAAACCCGGCGATACAAATGTAACTTCTTCCTCTCGGAAAGCCTGTTGCTTTGCTCCATGGATGAGGAGGAGGAGGAGTTGAGAAAAGCGGATTGCCCCAAATGCTTTTTGCGACTTTATTTTTTTTTTAAACGGACCGTGCATACCAGCGACACGAACACACTCACGCACACTATAGTATATTGTAGCAAACGCTTTATGAGGATTAATACACGTGAAATGTGCGCGTTATCGAGCGACGTCCCCCCCCCCCCCCCCGCCCTCCCTCTTTTGTTCCGGAGGAGAGCTGCCCCGTGAAATGACAACCCGTTATTAGCCGTTCGTGGTAACAGGCAAAGCTCGCATGACGCCGCCGGTGATCGTATTTCGCGAGGAGGACCGTGAGGACTTCCTCGGGCCTCCTGTGGATCATTACACGCAACTGGATACGTGGGCCCCTGGAGAGGGAATCACTCACCCTTACTCGGCAGTATGGACCGCTCACCTGCGAGACGTTTGAACGTAGAATTTTTCTACAGGTCCCTGAATGCAGCATTCATGATGCTTATTATTGTTGCCGTATTATTGTAATACATTGGGTCAAACACATAAATCCAATCGCAAAGCAAAAGCTCAGGAGCAGAGTTGAGGCATTATGAATGTACAAATGCATAGTAACTGAGTTTATTTTTGTTGTTGTTGTATGCCAGTACAGCAGATGCTTTCTATTAATTAATATTCTTCGCAAACATAAAGTACACAGCAGCCAGACATCATGCTTAGAAAGCTCATTAGTGGGTTTACATTGGATGAACTGAAAAGTTGAAAGTCAACATAAACAAACCAGTGCGGCAATGATCCCGTTGGCACATGCGCTGCAGCTATTCCAAGATTCTATATAGGGCTTTTAATGGTCTTAACAATCTCCTTTAATCGTGTAAAGTCTCCCCGAGTCATGTTGTGCTTGTAACGAAGCCACTATTAGAAACCTGCCAGAGTAATCACAATCTGACGGGCTTATTATACATACTAAATACGTACAACGTTTTTGGTATTTGTGATCAGAGCCTTAAAAACATTGATTGCTGTTGATATTTAACACGACTTTTAACAAATACAATCTAAAAGGTTTCTAAATTGCATTTCCCGTCCGAGCAGTGAGAAAAATATATAAAACATTGTGTTGTTCTTTGCAGGCCTTGAAAAAGGGAAGCGCTCCAAATTGTTGTTAATGGGGAGAAACCACATTCCACTGCAGTTCTAACAATGATAGAAACAATGGGTAAGTAATCACTTTTCTAATCCATTCACGGTAACTGGATAGAACCAATGCCTTTGCCTATTCAGTGTCATTGCTGCCATTGTAAACAAAAACAAAAAAAGTACAAATATCATCCCCACACTCTATCTGCACCTTCTTAATTCTCCATCTTCATTTTTTTTAGATGAGCTATTTCTTTGATTAAATTTTTTTTTAAAAACCTTCTACAATGTGCTGTCCGTCTTTGCCGGCTCGCCAGCCGCGCTTGGCTTCCGCCGTTAGCTCCTCTCAACCAAGAGTAAGAGGCGCTGGACTCAGTTCTGAGGCGTGGGGACTGCCAATGTTGCCGTGTTTTGATAGTGTTGCCATATACTTGATTGTTTGTTTGTCTCCATAGAGATGTATGGGTCTGACTGTCAAACGCGGAGCCAAATGAGCGCCGCCGTCTCCTTTCGTTTCAGTGGTCACTCTCACAGCCGGCCTTATGACCACGTGCTTACTGTGGAAGTGAGACTTAGTCACAGTTGATGGAAGTTAGAGTATTTGCGCGGCGTGTACAGTTACAAGAGGGCTTTATAAAACGTGCTTTTGATTTGGGCGGACCACGATGTAGAGAGAAGGCATTGATGCAATACGATAATTAGCAGCTTTAAATGGAATTGGGTTGTGATTCAATTATTATTATCATGAGCACATGTTCACCCAAATTTCTCAAAGTCTGATAAAGCTCACTCTAAATTAAACTATTTCCGTAATCCAATTTCTGCATGTGCTTGCATATAAGTCAGTGTATAGCTGTAAATATCATACATCTTCTCTTTAATTTCATTTGTAACTGTCTTGTTAATTCAAAATGTTTATTACATGAGAACATTTATGGTGTTTTTCTTGTGTCGAGCATTAAAAAACATGCTATAACGTTACAGACACCGTCATCAAGATATGAAATGTCCCAACGTTGCTGATTGATTGATGCACAGAAGTCATGATATTACTATTTGAAATTGAATGCTACTGGCTTACGTGAGCACACATACATGAGCAAAAATACAGAATAAAAGAGAATCTGATTGGAAATATGGAGAAATTGTCTTTTTGCAAAAAACATTTTCGCATGTATTGTTACACAGGTAAACAACATGTCGGCTTTACATGAGTTATATTGAAGTTTTACCGTATACTCACAATAAACTGCATTTAGCAGCCCACAATTCAATTTCAAATGTGATGTTTTCAATGAATCCAACTTGGACTCCAATTTTGATATTGTTCAACCTCGGCTCTGTTCCAGGACCACCTTGTCTTTTGGAACAAACGCAAACAGATGGACACCCACATACATGCCAACCTCTGTGGGGGGACGAAGTGGTGGTGGGGGGGGGGGGGGGGGAACAAGGTATTCCTCGTTATGCTTCCCGATGGGGGGGGCCATGAAAAAGACACCGTTACCTCCCAGGGAAAAGTGGGGCACACAGAAGAGAACCCCCCCGGGGGTATTGGGTTGTATACCACCCTTGTTCAGAACAACAAAGCTCCCTGAGTGCCAAAAAGCGGCGTGGAGCTTCGCGCGCGCCCTAATAGGTGTTAGTCACAGTGGGTGAGCTTCGGGAAATTGCTTTATTTTCGTCCAGATGACGTTGGGCTTGGCCCATCCTCGCTAACAAGCCACTCAGGAGTTGCTCGATTGTGGGGCTTATGCAGGGTCCAGCAAGCAAGCGGCGGAGGGCCCGGTGCTTTTATCTCCCCCCCCCTCACCCCCCCCTCGCCCACCTCCCGATACCAATTCAATGCTCCTGTGAGCCATTGACACAAAAGGCCAAAACAATACAACTCTCAAGACGAACAGCGCAAGTTATGTTGCTGCTTCCACTTGTTTATCGTAAAAAAAGCTAATGGAATCTGAATGAATACATGTGGCGATGTCCTCCCCTCTCCCGTTCTCCCTATCTCTGCCCATGAACTGATAAAGCCTCTGTCCTCTCTCCACCTCTATCTCTACCGCGCCTGCATCCACCCTCCCCAACCCCCGCGCATCCACCCCTTCAATCTGGCCGGTGCTGTCATTGAAATATGCGACGGCTTGCAGATACCCAGCGTGCCTTGCAGGCGGTGGAGCGTCTCCAGGCCAAGCTGAAGGAGCGGGGGGAGGTGCCCACTGAGGAGAAGCTCAGCCTGCTCAAGTCGGTGCTCCAGAGCCCCCTCTTCCACCAGATCCTGGCCTTGCAGAAGTCCGTCCAGCATCTCAGAGACCAGGTAAAATGGACATTTGTTTTTCATGGCCGTCCTCTTTTTAAGGTATCCACAACAATGCACAAGTTTTTATCAATTAAAAGTTTGAATCGTCACGTCAACAACGCAGTATTCATTCTTTTAAGCCTGGCTGGACCTTTGGGACTGTCAACATGTTACAAAGATTCAAAGGAGTGATGGGTTGCAAGGCCAATGGAAGGTTACAAGGTCCTGGTCATTCAGAGGTCTGCATCACATGAATATATATATGAATGTAAACGGCCAGAAAAGCCAGATGGCTGCATCCCACTTTGTCAGCACAGAAGTAATATAAACAGAAGTGGTCATGTTTAATGATTAATAAGAGCTTCTCTGTATTTTTATGATCTCGACGTTGGATGAGCTGAGGTGGAAGCAGAGGTAATATCAAGTGCCAGTCATAGCTTTTGTGTCAGTGTAGAGAAGTGCTGGCATCTTGCACACAATGTGAAAATATTGAAACCGTGGCACTACCTGTATTATATATAATACCACCCCCCCCCCCCCACCCCACCTACGAAGTGCCTTCATCTTTCCTGTTCCCTGTGTGACCTCGCCGATTCTGCTTTTGGCTGGTTGCTAAATCCGCCATCCGCGATAGTCTGTGGCCAAATGGCTGTCAGGGTTCACAAAAGCCAGAAATATTATGGGTGCATGATCAGAGGTACTCAGTCTAAGTCAGGGACTCTTTTTCTTGCCGATTCTCTCCATTGAGAATAGAACATTTGAGTGGAGGGGAAGAGCTCTTAAGTCACAGTGGAAAAGGGCCAGGGTAAGCGTTTGAGAAATACAGACGGAAATATTTGAGCAATGCGGTGGGAGGCAGGGATGCTTTTTTTTTTTTTTTTTTACCCCTTGCGGAATTTAGATTACAAAAGCCCTGCTGGCATTTTTGTGTGCTGGTGATTTAGCTTATTTCAAACGAGGTGCATTCCGCCTACTGTATGTGCACGTCTGCGTGTGCCTGTTTGCTGATGCGCGTTTGTTTTAATAAGCAAAACGTATCGAGCAGCGGTTCATCACAAATTCCCTTCAGATTTCTGAAATAGACTAATTCCATGTTGTAATAAACGATAAAGAGACGTGTTTCAGAGCCGGCAACAAGTCGTTGGTTTGTTTTTATAGCACTTTCAAACCCAACTGCATTTGTTTGGCCTCCTCAAGCACAACCAATTTGGAGTTTTTTTTTGTTGGGAGACAAGTGCCAGACATACAAACACACACTGTCTGTCGGTCTTCTGGCTCTGGTAGTTAGGCCGTGCACAGCCCATGTCGCCATGGCGACAAGGCCCTGCGCTCCAATGAGAAAGAGGCCACTGCATGAAGTGGGGCAGAAACAATTTCTTAAATGTGCGAGAACCAAACTGGAACTTTAATCCTCTTAGCCAGGCCCCAGCTAACAAAGCTCACGCATGAGGCCAGGAACTTAGCAGCATGCTACGCTAAGTTAGCCCGGCCCATAGGGTTATGTTTCCGGACGCTGCACTAATGGGGGGGGGCGATGCGATGCAGTTTTGTTTCTCGGCACATTACGGAGAGTACATGTTCCCTCGGCGGAAACCTCTGCGCAGTCAACTTCCCAAAGATGCAAATGCGGGAGTTCACAAGGACGGCTTTGGCTCGGCGATGCCATATGCCAAATGGAGTGTTTATGAAGTGATTGCTGTGTGCTATATATATATATATATATACGTCAGTTTTAAATCCAGTTCAGATGGCCGTAAACGTTGTGCCCTTTGGCTAATGAAATTGGAAAAACCCTGTTTCATGCAGTTACCTCGTCCATGCGATTCATCTGTCACACACGCAAAGTCATTGCAGTAATTAAAACCAAAGCCTAGCAAGGCATCCAGATGGCCTGCGATGCTTTCCCCCCCCCCCCCACCATGATAGAAATAATGTATTTGGAGCCTACTAGTCATTGTTGGAACATCCGCTAAGCGCCATTATACCCTGAAGGATTAGGCTGCTCTGGATCCAGCTAATCATTGCGGGATAACAAACCATCCGTCATCCCAGTGGCTTTAGACACCCCCGACGTCAGGGTTTTGTTGTCTAAAATTAAACCTGCTGAATGCTTACGTGGACAAGGACGACTACATCTTGTTGATGTCGGTTGGACTTTGGGCAGGATTGTTCCCAGTAAATGCTGTTCTCTGCAGGTGCCTTTCTGCAGACATTCCTCTCTGTTATGTAGCCGCAAAACTGCAAACTGGACAGACACCACAATCGTGGTGGAAGACTTTCACAGGCAACCAGGAAATAGTAGTGAAGTCTCTGAATCAAATACGCCTTTCTCCGCTTATTTCCTTTGAAAGGGAAAAAGCAGCTACGTGCTCGGTGGACTAGAAGGAACCACTTATACAGGGCAGAGCAGCTCTTATACCTCAGTCGGATTACAGGTGGCATCAACGGAAACTTACATTCCAACACATGTGAACCAACTTATTGTTACACTACAACTGTGAGACATCTGGAGGCATCTTATCAATGTGTGAGATACTTTCCTACAGCCACACAATCCCAGCACCTGCAACTTATGTACCAATCTGTGTTTTCATTTTACCAGAATATTTAAATATATAGTAGTAGAATGGTAATTGCATGCTTTTTGTTGTTCATTTCTGTCACAGGAGAGCATCCCGGTGTCGAGTGGGAGTGACCCCGGCGATCATGTCGCAACAGTCAAACCCTACTCAGACATATCAGCTTCTCCACACATCAATGGAAAGACGTCATGTGAAGATTTCGAGCACCTCGTTAACTCCATGGCGCAGGTAGAGACAACCGTAAAGCAGAAGCGGCCCTTGTGCCGTTCATTTTGGTACACGCGCACACAAATCAGTATCCGTAAACATGTAGATTACCTTGATTAGTTCCTCCTTGACAGACAAAATATCTGAAGACAGTCAGAGATGAGAAATGCAGACTGCACACTGCGGTCTTTTCTCTTGAGGCACTTCAAATAGACTTCTAAAGGCAGCCTACAGCTTTGATGCTGCAGGGAATCAGCACAACGCTAAAATGTGTGTGTGTGCGTGTGTGTGTATATATATGTATATATGTGTGTGTACAGTAAATGTGTGTGTGATGCAGGGGCGCTGCGTGACGCACGTGGACCTACAGAAGCCAGTGTCAGGAGGCCTTGGCTTCAGCGTGGTGGGCCTGAAGAGCGAGAACCGAGGAGAGCTCGGCATCTTCATCCAGGAAATTCAGCAGGGAAGTGTTGCCGACTGGTACGTAAAAGCTCCGCGTGCCCTTCCTCAAGGATTCTAATCGGATAGCAGCAAAGTCAAAATTCCATCAAAAATGTTTCAACATTTGCCGGTAGTTCAAGACTTAACGGCTGATGAGTCTTTTCACACAGTCTGGGACTAATACAGGTTTTCTGGAATCCTCCAAATGAACCTATTTTACCAAAAAATTAAAGCCACATTTTTGCTATTTTTTGCCTTCAACGCGACCTTGTGGTGTCAAATTTTAATCGTAGAATAAAAAATATCAGACATAGACTCCATACCCTACCCCTTCCTCTCCCTCTCACTGTGACACTCGCATACCCCTTCCTCCCCCACAGTGATGGCAAGCTCAAAGAAGCTGACCAGATCCTAGCCATCAACGGCCAGCTCCTGGACCAGAGGGTGAGCCACCAGCAGGCCATAGGCATCCTGCAGAGTGCGTCGGAGAGGGTGCAGCTCACCGTGGCCAGAGGACCGATACCTCAGCTGGTCAGCCCCGCGGTGTCCCGCACGCCCTCGGCCGCCAGCACGCTGTCCGCCAGCTCCAGTGCGGTAAGGAAACGCTCTCGCGCGCTAATGTAATGGGCAGAATCTTGCATCTATTCCTTTGCTGGAGGGTGTAACACAATACACAAAGACACGAACGAGCATAGCAGCAGCTTCTGCGATCCAACGTGGTATTTAGACATCAGTACGGCGGACGCAAGGAGCTGTCTCGCATCAGACAGTGTTAATCGCTGGATTAAATCAAAAGTCCATTTAATTGCTTCACTGATTCTCCTCTTCTTCTACGCTTAGTGGCAGCACGTGGAAACGATCGAGCTGGTCAACGATGGGACCGGACTTGGCTTTGGTATCGTGGGAGGAAAGACCACTGGGGTCATTGTCAAAACCATCCTTCCCGGAGGCATAGCTGACCAGGTGATTGCTTTAATGGATCCCTACTTCGCCATAAGATGGCTTTTAATATTTTATTATATTTCATGAAACCTCTCAGTGTTATAGAGAGATGTATTTTGCTAGTTAGCTATAATGAAAATCACAAGCTAGCACATAAAGCACTCATGTCCCTTGTGCCGTAGCAATAGTGTCATTAGGAGTTCATGCTCAGTCAGAAATGTGACTTTTTCTACCACAGGATGGCCGCCTGCGCAGCGGCGACCACATCCTGAGAATCGGAGACACCGACCTGCACGGCATGGGCAGCGAGCAGGTGGCCCAGGTCCTCAGGCAGTGTGGTAACAGGGTGAAGTTGGTGGTCACCAGGGGTCCCGGGGACGAGAATCCCTCCCTCTCTGCTGTCATGCCCGTGGTGCTCCCCACTGTCAACGAACAGGTGAGAGCCGACAATACGGCAGAACATTGGTACAAATGCTTTCAATGCGGTAGAAAGTGTCACTTTGAAATGAGGTCATTTGGAGGTAGGACGAAGTACTTGCTCTGTTACAACTGGTCAAGAGGATGATTCAGATCTGAAGTGCAGGTCTGTCCTTTCTTACCTCGACTGGCCTCGAATGAATGAAATGAAAGAAGTAGGTCGCCTGTGACTCACGTCGGAGAGAAAATGTGGCCTTTTTTCATGGCTACTCAGGGTACTCTATTTGACCCCATTTAGACCTGAGAGAAATGTAGTGATTCACTATAGGAATGCCATCGCACGCATGTTGTATAGGGGTCACGGCAGTGAAAAATCCGTACTTTGGTACTCATGTGGCACAGCCGGATGACTGCAGTGCCATGACTCGCCGTTCCGCTGTTGTCAAATGCATCGTCCTTTGTTTTTATTCGGTTACCAGCGGATGTTGAGCTGTCCTTACCAGTACTCTTTTCACAGGGCTGTGAAGAAGAGGAGGACGAAGCCTTTGATGTGAGCCTCACCAAGAACACCCAGGGTCTGGGGATCACTATTGCTGGCTATGTTGGAGATAAAAATGCAGGTGAGAAATTTCCCTTTGCAGTGGAAGGGTCGTATTGATGTTTAATTTAACTGAAGAAGTTGCGATGATTCATATCTGTCTTGCCTATAAACACTGGGTCAAGCGTGGGATTTGAAAGCGGTGGGTGGATGTGATGAACCCGGTATCGACATGCAAGTCTACGGAGCATCGGTTAACAGCTGATTGTTTTGGATCGATTGTTTTGGACTTGTAATATGGTGAATAATAACCCCACTATGTTAATACATCTTCACTTTCATAAAATGAACAAATAAGCTCAAATACAAACTACCCGTTATCATGAACTGCTATATATATATATATTGACCATTGAGTGGCTTTGGCCTGAAGGTATTTGTTTTTCAAGCGCACTGGGTTTCATCACATGGTTTTTTCATGAGTAGTGTACTGTAATATTGAACCGTGTTCACTAACCCTGACTCGTAACATGAGATGAAACAGCTGTTTGCTTTTCTCCTTTGGGTCTTAATGTCGTGACTCGCGTTCTTTCATCTCTTTACTCACTTTGCACTTGTTCTGACTCCGCAGAGCCCTCTGGCATTTTTGTTAAGAGCATCACTAAAGACAGTGCCGTAGATCAAGATGGCCGTATTCACGTCGGGGACCAAATAATAGCTGTAAGTATGAATTATGCTCTTTGCAGCTAGTGGTTTTCTTTATAACAGTGGCCTACGGCAAAAAAAAACAGAAATGATGCAGTGAATGCTTAATACAATCTATTATACATTTAGTCAATGATGGGAAATACTGAGATGGATAATTAATAATTCACAATTGACTGATTTTCACTTCTTCCCTGTACCTTGGAATACAAGACTTGAATTAACACACTGTGAGTGTTTACGTGTTTTTTCATTTCATTACTGCAGGACATTAACTATGGAGTGAAACTGTAATTTCTTGCGTCATTGAAACATCAGTGAAACACAAGTTCATTTTAATTGTTGTTGTGGTGTATTGGTGTTTGCCTTATTGAGTTCTGTTCTTAAGCGGTTAATGTGCTGTGGGAACGTAAGAACTAAGTAAAACACTTAATTAACTATGAATTCCCCTACAGTTTTTTTAAATGATCTATATAAATGAAGTTAATGGCTCAAGTAGATGGGAAACAGTCATGTGCAGCAATCTATTTCCACGCCTGCCGGTGTTTCTAATCACTTTGATTAATGTTGCTTCAATCTGCCCTCTATCAAACAAGAATTGAAATGTCACTTTGCACTCACAACGTCAGCACCGGCTGTTTAATCCACGGCCTCACAAATGATCGCCCTCTGCAGGTCGACTGCGTAGACATCCAGGGATACACCAATCAGCAGGCAGTGGAAGTGCTCCGACACACGGGCCAGACCGTCCACCTGAAGCTGATCCGCCGGGACTTCAGGCCCGAGGAGACCCCACCGAACGTGGCCCCCGTGGACGCCGGCCCCGCCCCGTCCCCCCCCGCCATCATCCCCACCGCCGTCGCCGTGATGGAGCTGGAAAGCAGGAAGGCTGCTCAAGGTGGGGAGAATGCAGCGAGAGAAATGTTAACGGGGACATTCTTTGTTACTCATCACCCTGTCAAGAAAAAGCTTTCCCCCGATGTGCCAATGCAGCTCAGCAGGCGCTTTTATGACTCATAAATGGAGATTTCCGTCACTTTTGTCATTCCAGTTAAAAAACGGAGACTGAATATTCTCCTGATGCGTATAAATAACATTTACTTGGGTTCTACTGAACGGCGGTCCAAATGGAGGTTGACATTGGGATTCATTATTAAATGAAAAAGGAGGCCGTCTGAGTATGTAGCAGCCGTCTTTCTGCTTCTCCAGAAGTATTTATTTATTCATATTTTTGATGAAATAAGTTGTATTTATTATAGAAAGGGAAAAATTGCATTCTACGGAAATGGGAAACTGGTCTCTGTGTTCTACAGAATCATTTATTTTTGTAATACGTTCATTGAATATTGACACCGTTCCTAATACTATAAGAAACTACTTGGCTTCCTAACAAAGTGAAATGCACTGACAGACTGGACTGACCAAACAACCACATGTCAAAAGAAAAAACTAAAAGCTTTCCATCATGTTATTTAGACTCCATATAACTGTAACCATATCCAATAATGAATAAGCACGTGATGCCGAACATTTGACACATGGCTGAGGTCTGCCTTTGTCTTTTGGTATCCATCATGTACTTCCATGTCCTTTTGAACTACTCCCCCCCCCCCTCACATTTTTTTATGCTGTTTACATCAAACAAGACAGACAGAGAGTAAAGAGAAAGATTCTGGCGCCCAGTCCTGACAGGACCTCCGGGCCTCTACAAAAGCTGGAAAAAAGTTGCCAATAGCGATGAATGGAGCTTGAGAGTGATTCTGGTGACAGGAAGTAGCCCAGAAACCGGCAGAAAAACTAGCAGCCAAACAAAAGTCGACAGACGGCGAGGGCCAGGACTCTCTTGGCTGCTGCGACAGCGGCACTTTTTAGCATTACAGATGATAAAAATAACTACTTCAGTGCATACCCATATTATATGATGTCATATCCCTGGAGCTCCCTTGTTATGAGCAGAAGAGTTTGGTGAGAAAGAATATATTTTAGCTAATTTACTGGGCATGATATCTCACGTTTGATGTACCAAGTGGTAATGGGCAATTTGATGGCCGGGATTAACGACAGAAATAAACCACTCACTTAAAATTGTTGTCAGTGTTGAAGTTGTTGAGCTCCTTCTTGCATCCCATGAGCTAGAATTGGTTTTCATGCTTGCACTTAAAAGCACCCATTGAACAGGCTCCACCGCGGCTTACTCGGGCGCACTGGTAGTCATTTCACAGGCGACCACTTTGGTGCCCTGCGGAACTCCAAAGACCTAAAAGCGTGGCGTTGAGTTGTAAAAAACGCACCGGGGTCATTAAGCAGATTTTCGAGGTACTGGGATTTGGGAGCATCGTGTATCTCCTTCACAGACCAATAAGGAAGTTCTTCTTCTAAAGTCATCGTCATTATGAAAGAGTAGGTGATGCTCTAACTATTTTAGTGGACTATCAAATAGAAAGATATTATTTCAAATAAGTAATATATATAATATAAATATGTTTTGTGTGTGTGTGTGTTGCTGCTGTTCCTCGTGTGCTTGCGGTCGCCACAGATGAAAAGCCGCTCCAGACAAAGAGTGAAGGACCCGACGTGGGACCCGACGCGGGACCCGACGCGGGACCCGACGTGGGACCCGACGCGGGCCCCGCCGTGGATCAGCTTACAGACGAAGACGAACATGGTAGGAGACTGGGATTGTTCTTTTAGGTTCAGGCGCAGAGATATATCGACATCGGCCGCGCATCTCAGAGAAACGAGCGCACTGACTAGCAGTAAGCGCACGGCGAGGGAAAAAAAAGTAGCAAACACACATTTTTGGGGGTTTTGTTTTTATTTTTGAAGGTCTAATTTTAAATACGACAAAAGTAATTTGCAAATAGCTTGATGCGCATTTCCCTTTGCTGGCTGGTGGAACGTTTATGGCAGACTCGCCTTTTATGTTGTTTTGTGTATTCACACTTCTGTCTCGTTATCCGAGGGATGGAGCCAGCACCCTTTGAAGAGGAAGATCTAATGAAGAAGTGGCAAGAAATTCTGGGGCCAAGTAATGAAGTTGTCGTAAGTGTCTTTTTTTTCCACAGCGAATTCCTTTCTCCCATGCAACAGTACTTGGCTCCTGGGCATTTGCTTTATGATGTGAACCGCTCCTCTGGATGGAGTCATTCATACAACTTGTTTCAAAAGCTGGCTGGAATGTGATTTTCTTGTCCCCCCCCCCCCCCCCCCCCGCCCCCCGTAACAGGAGGCTCAGGTGGAGAAGTTCAGTGAGAACAGTGGGCTGGGCATCAGTCTAGAAGCCAACAGCGGGCATCATTACATCCGCTCCGTTCTACCCGAGGGACCCGTTGGCCGCTGCGGAAAGCTCTTCAGCGGAGATGAACTGCTTGAGGTGTGCGGCCCCTTTATTGAAAAAAAAGAGCATTTCATCAGCAGCAGGGATTAGCATTTCTAAGTTACTGTGATATATAACGGAGGCCCACACCAGAGCTAAAAGGTGGCCAGAGACACGACTCCAGATGAATGCTAATGTGGCGGCTGGTTGAGGATTTAAATTAACGGTGATTTAAACCATCGCTAACGATGCTAATATTTTGCCCATTTGAAGGTCAATGGTTTATCCCTGATTGGTGAGACCCACAAGGAAGTTGTCCGAATCCTGAAGGAGCTTCCTCTGTGCGTGACCATGATATGCTGTAGGCCCGCCCCTCACCTGCAGACGGACATGGATGCTGTCCAACCAGAGACTTTCTTAACAGCATCCAAATTAAAGGTAACCTTCGGGACTTGTCATGACACACAATTTGTCAAGGGTTGTTACGTTGGGAAAAAATCCCTGAACGAGCTCAAGGCGATAATAAAGCAGCAGATGATACTTTCAAATAGGTATAGAAACTGCCTGCATCCCCTGAAAAGGCAGTAATGTGAATCATGAAATATGTTTCCCCGCCTCCGCATATTAACACAGGAATATGATAAGGGAGCAATACTCCCAAAGTAATCCTCCTTTATAACCCATCAACTGTTATTAGCTTTGCCGATGTGTCAATCGCTCCATTGACTTTCAACACTGTCAACGATGGGGTATAAAGACTTAACAATGCGCAGGGGAGGGTGAAAGTTTATTAAGACCAATTCGAGTGAAACCTCAGCAGCAGCAGCCAGCAACATTTACTCAAGATATGAGACATCAAAAGCAGCTTCCCTTTGGGCCCGGGGTTTTTCATCATTCCAGCTTTATCTGTGATAATGTACTAAGGCCCTGGCATCGCACATATATTTCCCTTTTATCCACCGCCAGTAACCTGAGCCAGGGAGCAATCTAGGGGGTTGGGAGTTAAGAGTGCCGGTGGCATGCTGTTACACAGAGATTTGGGGATTTTTGCTCTGCAGAAACAAATAGACCCGAGCGGCGTACCGGCTGCTGGAGACTCCGAGGTGAACGTGGCGGCAGCGGCGCAGGAGAAGGTGACTGAGGAGGCGATAGCGTCTCCTTTGGCTATGTGGGAATTGGAGATCCAGAACATCGAGCTGGAAAAGGGGGAAGGGGGATTGGGATTCAGCATTCTGGACTATCAGGTGGGACGTATAGCTGTCTGTAGTGTACATGTGTTGTTGCATTTGTTATCGTCATAAACTATGCAGCAATGAATTACGTCACCAGGAAAGCAATACGTAACATTTCAGGCATGACGTTTTTGAAATTCAACATTTAAATGCTTCTTCTGACAGTTGTACAAGCATCTCCACAGAAAAACACACTATATCACGCCATCATTGCTTATTTTGGCCTTTGCATTCCTTGCGGAACATAAAGCAGAGTTATTATACTAATCAAATAAGTTGAATTCCATAGAAGCCTCCGGCTGTGATAGTTTACCTTTGGACAGCTTCTCAATTTAACCGGACCGGACTTCCCACAGGACCCATTGGACCCCGCCAAGACGGTGATTGTCATTCGCTCGCTGGTTCCCAGCGGCGTGGCCGAACAGGATGGCAGACTGTTGCCCGGAGACCGCCTCATGTATGTTGACACCACCAACCTGGAGAACGCCAGCCTGGAAGACGCCGTCCAGGCCCTGAAGGGAGCCAACCTTGGCACGGTCCAGATAGGAGTTGCCAAACCACTGCCTGTGAGCATTGAAGAAAGTATTTTGTATTAGTACACGCAACTGTTGGTGTGACTTCAAGTTTGATGCATTTTGTGTTGTGTGAGGTTGTGTCGAGTTGTCGGTGTATCGTGTGACTCGGGATCCAGTCAAGAGGGTTCAGCTTACCGGGGCGTGCATTTTTCATCCAGGAGTTGGGCTGCACGGTGTAGCATTCCACCCGCCGGGCCACTAAGAGGAGGCGCCCACTGCCTGCAATGCTCTGCACCATTCGTTTCATACATTATATTATTGAATTTTCTTCCAAGGGCACGTACCCTTTTGTACATTCAAACACATTGGGGGCAGCTGTCAAAATATTGGGGTGGTCGAACACAACGTTCATCGCTCCGGGCGCCTGTACTCTTTCGTATGGGATATTTCGCTCTGCAAAAGAACTTGCATTTTCCCAGCTTTAGAGCTGCATTTCTCTTGTATTGAGCGTGCGGTTGGAATACACAGTGAGACATCTGGGCAGCCGGGGTTAGCTGGATTACTGAGCTGGAGGGAGCCTCTGTAGAATGATCCTCTCCTGCAGGACGCTGAATGCCCCTCTGAAGGATATTTTGGGGGTATTGCCTCTCAAAATTGACTCCCGACTGTGAGCCTTTTCGGCTTTTTTTTTTTATATCTACCTAGGCGGTATGTTTTACAAAATCGATACCAAGAGCTACTACTGAAGAGAACACATTTTTTAAGAATTAATTCAAAGAGCCGTGAACGTGCAGTTTCTCTCCGTTTGAACACTTTGTGCGCCAAGATCAATGTCAAACTCAATATCAGATGTATCAAAACTTCTAACATCTAACATCATTTTCATTCCATACTAATTTATTTGTACTTGATTTGGTCACAAAAAAAAATCAACAATCAAAAATCTAATTACACATAACTGGAGACACTGAAAGAATTTCTCCACTTTCCTAGGGAATATGTGGATATTCCCACTCTCCACACCCATATGGTGAGCAGGAGATTACTTCATCATCCACCATCCATTCATTTGACTTCATACATATTTGGGTGGAAGAAGGAGAGGAAGAAGGACTGACTGAGGGCATCGTTTACCGAGCAGAGCCTGCATTGGTTAGTTAGCTTTTGGGAAAGATTCTGCAGAGGGAACAAATTGTACTTTGCTTCTGCCTTAAATCACCAAGCGAGGTCTGTTAGTTTCTAGTCATACGTAGATTCATGTTATGTAATCATTATCTTGACAAACTGGATTACTGGATTAATTAGTTGTATTTTGTAGAAATAGAAGCTGTCATTAGATAGTCCACAAAATGTATTAATAATTTGGGCGTTCGTTGTTATTTCTGTCCCAGTTGGTTACACTCCTTCCGTTCATTATCACAGGTGGACGCCTGCGAAGCAGACCTGTCTGACGAAAGTGTGTTGGACCTCACTTACTCTGGGACAGAGGACGACACTTTCCAGGCATCCATGATCGCTCTTCACGGCAGCGGCTGTAGTGCAGAGATGGATTACCTGCACTCATCTACGCCCACGGTAAGCGGGCGATGAACGGCACAGGGAATATACAAGCGAAACCAAAAGCACGGCGTGAAATCGTTCTCTTATTGCATTAAATGCCACTGCAACAGTAATTGCCCTTTATCGCCGTAACTACGCAACACAACGTGGGGTCATTATTCTTTCTGTTTCTTTTGCTACCAAAATTCTAAATGTCACAAGGAATGTGTTTGTGCTTTTGTTAAGGCAGAAAAAACATTTTTTTTTTCTTATGTACGGGGGTTGTAGGTGTGCCTGCTGTGCAGCAGCGACTCCTCGAATAGATATTAAAGAATTATGGGAAACAAACAAAGAAGAAAAAAGGTCACACAAACTGTTTTCCAAAAGTTCACAACCGACCTTATTTGCAGGGCCTTCCCCAGAAATGTATACTACTATAATAGGGCAGCCTAGAGGGACAACGAGGAGCATTTAATAGCACCGGACAGATTCCAAATGTTTCTTATGAAGTCAGACGGCTCAGTCTTCTTGCGAGGATGAACCGTTTCCGCCCCCCCAGAGAGCTCTAGCGAGAGGCAACAAGTCTGCAGACACATTTTAAAGTGTGGCAGTAAATAGCGGACCAGCGCTTTGTCCAGACTTGCTTGACAGTATCTAATGCGATGCTTCCCGAGCAACGTGAGTGATTTCCTCTTTCTGGTCCCCACATTTAAAGGTCATCTGGTTGTTGAAGATCAAAGGCGCGAGTTCGCCAAGTCACCCTCGGTCGATAAATCAGTGACAGCTATTTCGCTATCGAGTGCGCTAATGGATGGATTACAGTTGTGCTACTTGGTACCGCTTTGTACGGACTCACCCATGTGCATTGGTTGTTCTGTTCAAGACCCTTTTAAAGGCACTTTAGTGTGATCTCCTCCTTCAAGACTGGGCCTTTTTTTAAATGATTGGACCAATTAGATACATTTCCCAGACCAAACCAAACCAATAGTATAATTTCCTTAAAAAGATTTGTTGGAAAAAAAGTTATTTAAGGGCATCTTAAGCCTTAAGGCCCTCAGTGTGAAAGTGAAAGTTTAATGTCTGAATGCTTATTATGGTAATTATGGTCATTTTTTTCCAGAGATGCTAAAGATACTTTACTTCTAGTTGCATCACCCCCCCTCAATTAAGATATATGCATGCTTTACATTCATATACGTTATAGTAATGTGGTTTTCACACAAAACTTGGTTACACTACACTAATATACAGTGATTCCTAAATTTAAACAAACACAGTATCTGAATACCTTCAGCTTTCACAGACCAGTTTTGACCACTGAATAATAGCACAATGTTATTAAACTGAAACGTATTTGCACCCTTTTTTTTGTTCCTAAAGTTTTAAACTTCTCTGCCGGCTCTCAGAGGGAAGTGCTCGCTGACAATCAGCACTGCTCAATCCGGTCTTAATAAAGTCTTAAATGCTGCGACGATAAAACAGAATCTCGTGCACGGCAAGCTCAAGATCACTGGTAATTTCCGCTGCTCTCTATTGGCCTCTGATGGCTTTTCTATGGCTCATTACAAGGAGGGCGGGATGGCGACTGAGCAAGATGAATCCTCCCTGTTGGCCAATTGTCTAACTATCGCGGCGGAACGCTCATTCAGCTGCTGGTGCTTTGTTTTACTACAGCTGACAGCTCGTCTGGACGTGTTGGACGAGCATCTCTGCTTCCCGCCACCGCCCCCGCCCGACCTCGCCGACGACACGGGGCCGTTCTCCCCGGAGGAGTCGGCCCCTTTCACTCCTCCGAGTTTCAGGGGCCGCGACCGGGTTTTCGGAGGCGCGTTGAGCAGCTCTGATCAGTTCCTGGCGCAGCACGATGCTCGAGAGGAGCCGGCGGAGAGCTCCAACTCGTACAGCTCGCTCACTGAAATAGGGACAAGGTTGTCCCTCCCAGATGAGCCCGCGGAGGCTCTTCACTACCAGCAGGTGCCAGCCATGTCTCTGGAAGACATTGGAAATATAGAGATCTTGATAAAGGTAAAATAATCAACTTATGACAAACTATGAATCTGGAGGACTGCGTGTAAAATAGACTTATAGTCGAGCAGTGAGTAATGTGGACATCACAGATATGCCGATTCCAAACACCAGCTAATAATCATCCTTCGTTTAAATAGAATCTCTACAACCTCTCCTGAGTCAAGACTCCTTTAAAACACGAGATAGTTGTTTACTGATACTGAGCTCGTTCCTTTCCAATTCCTTCCCACGGCCAATCAGCGGCACCTACTTTTTCTCCGGAGAGGCCTGCTGTCTTCGGAATACGACCAAATATTTTCATTTTACCTTCATGAATAACTGTTGAATTGTCCGCCCCCCCCCAAAGGGCGAGGCGGCTGGCGTGAGAGAATCAGCAGCGGCCGGTGACGAGAAAGAACTGACCTCAGGGAGCAATTTTGAAAGGACCATCACAGTTGTCAAGGGCAACTCCAGCCTAGGTATGTGTTAATTTCTTTGCATTCTTTGATTTGCCCTTTTGTTTATTCTCCTCCTCATCCTCCACAGATGTGTAAATGAGGTTGCCGGACCTGAAAAGCGTATTGGCCTTTTTCTTTTGTGGCCTTTTTTTAATTTTTTTTATAAATGCCAGATTTGAAGCAAAACGATAGAAACGATTTTTTTTCAGTCTGAAAGGGTAATTTCATCGCCATACAGGGTATTTCCATTTCAATACCCACCCATGGGGCTGCTACCGACTCAGAGAATACTAAGTTGTAGCTTCAACACGGAGGTGTTATGTTTATAATTTTCAATGCCTCGCTGAAAGCCGTGCCTCATTTAGCTTTTTAGTACACTTTGAAGGTTTTTATTTAATGCTGAATTCTAAATGTCTACATCGTAATGCGTTTGGCTTTTGTATTTCTTATCTTCGCCATGTGGAATTCAAAACAAAATTCCACTCATAAATAGAGCATATGATGTTATTTCTTTTAATATTTGCAAAATAATCCCTTTGCACCGTGCAAGGGAGTTTGAAAGTTTTAGATAGACCGGCCTCCAAAAATATTATGCCGCACTCTGAAGTCACTCCACTGAGAATACATTGAAATCCTTATTTGTGAATAATACGACTGCTGAATAATTTGACGAGATAAGAAGTAGCTTTCTTGTATCTTCTTCATTTCAAGTAAGGGCCCCTTTTCATCTGTAACAGAGCCGGTGCCGACAGGTTTACCGGTGGCCCCGTTGCTTTTTCTTTTTTGATCGAGGAGCTCATTCATCGGTGATTGTTTTTCAAGTTTAAATCTCTAAACTGCTCATCATCATACCCAAATGCACTAACGATTCCTCACAATCCACCCTCCAAGGGATGACCGTGAGCGCCACCAAAGACGGTCTGGGGATGCTGACCCGCAGCATAATCCACGGGGGGTCCGTGAGCCGCGACGGACGCCTGGGTGTCGGCGATCTCCTCCTGGCCATCAACGGCGAGCCCACGGCCGGCCTGACCAATGCCCAGGCTCGCGCCATGCTGCGACGCCACTCGCTCGTTGGACCGGACCTGGGGTAGGAGGCTGTAAATAGAAAGCACACACACACCCATACACACACACACACACACACCACACACAACATTGAATGAAATGTAATAAAAAAAAATATATCGAGTCAAACCTCTGACATGTAACGGTTCAATGTTGTGTTTGAATTTTCCCTAATGAACAGTAGTAGATAAAACTGTGATCTATGGACCTTTGCTTTATTAGTGTGATTGTTTTCTGATTGACGCAGTCCTGATTACGATGCAGCTGTTTTAACACCATTGCTACAAGGATTCAATATCATAGATATTCCTTACTTAGCATTCCGGGCCAACTTTCAGGGCTTCTTCATTCCCTGCGCTGCAAACATAATTTGGTTGGTCGTGAACCAGCAAGGTCTTTGCTTTTGGCGCTTTGCTTTTGAAAGATGCATGCTAGTGAGAAATTAAGTGTACAGCACAAGCAACCTTTACAGCTGCCTTGTATACCTCAAGGTCCAGCCTTGTTTACATGGCTTCCAGGATACATGAAAAACGTCATGTGGGTATCTGCTGCTCCTACCGACGAGACGGGCACTAAAACAACACACAGCTATGTTCACTTTGACGAAATAATTGTTTTTATAACATTTAAGGACACAAACATATGTAGCAGAAACCCCAACATATCCGTATGAATGTGAAACTAGGCCTTTTATGTCTTACATAAATGCAAGCGTTACAAACCATACATCCTGATGTAATTAAAGCATATGGTTATTTAATGCAGTGAATTTAAAAAAACAAAAATAATATGCAAAAGTAAATCATGTAACGGGAAAAGGCAGAGGAGCTGCAGTCCAACACGGAAACCTGATGTGGTGTTTCACGAGTTCTGCTTGCTGAACTAAACTTGACAGTTTGTTCGCTCCGGTGCATAAAAGCCAACTCTTCACATTCTAGATCTGCTTGTGCACCCGAGGACGATCTGTGCCCATTTTATGTGTGAGTATGACTAACTTCCACGCCGGTGGCGTTTTTTCGGTTTCCGTCCTCTCGTCCTCTCCGTGTGCTGTTCAGGAGCTTTATCCAGACGCAGAATTAGACACGTGTCCAGCCGGTGATAACGGTAAAGTGCAATTGATGATGATATGGCTCAAAATGTCATTCCGATGGGTCAAATCAAATGTTGAATTTGTCAACTTCTGATATACGACACATATCGTCTAAACAGCCTCTGGATGAAGCTCCATCGACTGCACTTCTTACTGACTTAACTTGCTGCATGACATGATATCTGTGACTAACATTTCCAATCATTCTCTGGATGTTTTCTCCCATTTTTCACTTCCTGTTTTTCCCCATTAACAACACATATCTCTCCCTCGCATCCATTTAATGATTTCACTGGGATTGGTTTCGCCTCTCCGTCTGCGTGCTACCATGTTAAAGAAATCAAACTCTTCAAATGTGTTCAGAATCAACTTCACTCTGAATGGTTTTTAAATGGGTGTCGGATTCTGTCGGCTACCTTTTACTTTTACATTTACACAAATTAGTAATCTGCCCGTGGATTCATAATAACATGTCCTTCCAATTGGAGTCGTCTTCACAACATCGTCATTCACACAGAAGGTAAAAAAAAGACTTGATTTTCACAGACGTTTCTGAAGGCAAGGTCTGTTTTGAGACCGGTTCTAAATACAACGCTTTTGAGTAAAAGACAGTGTGGTTATCAGATTTAAAAGAAACTCTTATGTTCAGTGAAGTAGTTTTAGTGTTTTTCTACCCGTTTCTCTGTTTTGGGAAAAAACGACCTTGCAGCATTTCTAAACGGGGGATAATTGTCATTAAGGAAGGGGATGGTAAGCCTAAAGGTTTGGTTGTTTTAAGAAATATTTGACTCATTTGTGTGTGTGTGTGTGTGTGTGTGTGTGTGTGTGTGTGTGTGTGTGTGTGTGTGTGTGTGTGTGTGTGTGTGTGTGTGTGTGTGTGTGTGTGTGTGTTTTTGTTTTGTTTTTGTGTGTGTGTGTGTGTTGTGTGGGCGTGGGGGGCGTGCGTGTGGGCGGGGCGCGGGTTAATATATTGTTCTCACAGAAGATGTGGAGGGAGAAAAAAGCCCGCCTGTGTTCAGCCTAAAAGAAGAGGGGTTTTTCGGTGAACCTGCCTCTCCCCTACGAAGAAGAGAAAAAAGAATCGCCCTCTGGGGTGGAAAGCCCCGCCACCTACCGTCCGGGGGGGTTCATTTTAGAAACAGGTCCACTTGAAAAGTGCCCACAAACCATCAACATTATGGAAGCACAAACCACATGCATCCGGGATCCGTCAGCAGTGTTTCTTCTGACCTGAAATTATTAACTTAGACCACGTGTGCGCACACAACATCAAGGCACGGCCGTCTTACAAACCATCAGCATATTAAAACCTCATCCATTACAAAGGCTTTCATAGACAACAATGTGTAAAACTGTGGATTTACTAATGCTTTGGCCAAATACCCTTTCATCATCAGCTATTACTACCACAATTGGAGGTAATAGCTGATCTATTACTACCACAATTGGAGGTAATAGCTGACCTATTACTACCACAATTGGATGAAATAGCTGATCTATTACTACCACAATTAAAAATGAAAAACTATTAAAAGCAAATAGGCCGGTGCACATGTGTCATGAATCATTCATTTTGTGTGTCAACCTATTTAACAAGGACCCTTTGTTTATGTCTGTGAGGTCTTACAAACATGTTGTAGTCTCTTTTATGAAGGTAATAGCAAAGCTTCTCATGTGCTACCTTCCACCACCAGCTGGTCAAATGAAACAGGGAACCACTTACAAACATTGCCGCACAGCACCACTGATGTTCAACACCTCCTCAGGATACCTCTCATGCATGTTATGAAACTAAATCTATCCTTTAGTGTTTGTCCCTGGAGCTTTCTTTAGAATTTTACCATATCTCTTTTCTTCCATTTTTGTCTATTTAGGAATATTCCAAGCCTCCCTGAACGGGAAGACGGCGAGGGGGAGGAGAGTGCCGCTTATAGCAACTGGAACCCACCCAGGAGGTGGGGAACCACTGTATTCACGCATCTCATCCCACTTTGTGCACCTGCCTGTGACAAACACACGTTGCACAACATTAGAAGCCAGAATGAGCATGAATCATTGAAAGAAAACTAAAAAAAGTCCAATTCTGAGAAAGAAAGAAAAAAACTAAACTAAACCCTTAATTTACCCTGCGTACCTTCCTCAGAGTGGAGCTCTTCCGAGCGGCAGGCAAGTCCTTGGGTATCAGCATCGTCGGGGGCCGAGGGATGGGCAGCCGGCTGAGCAACGGAGAGGTGATGAGGGGCATCTTCATCAAGCACATCCTGGAGGACAGTCCTGCTGGACAGAACGGGACCCTGAAGACCGGGGACAGGATTGTCGAGGTAAAGGAAACAAATAGCTGGAACTAGAAGATGGAAGTAAGATTTATTCTATCAGAAAGCTTTTTTTATTTTGACGACACAAGTACTTCCCGCGCTATTTGATTTAGCGTGCAGTAATTTGAGAGGGGGGGGGGGTTCGAGGTCCTTAAAACCTGACAGTGTTTTCTCCACGTCAGGTGGATGGAGCGGATCTGAGAGATGCTACCCATGAGGAGGCGGTGGAGGCCATACGCAGGGCGGGCAACCCGGTGTCCTTCTTGGTCCAGAGCATTATCCACAGGCCCAGGGTAAGTCGCTATAACAACGGCTCGTAAGTGATCGGAAGGTCACCGGTTTGTTTTCCCCATTTAATCTGCAAAGCCCATTTAGGGCACTTTCAAAAAACACAAAGTGAAATCCACAAGCCCTTGTGTCGTATCCGTTTGGCATTTGATATTTTTTTTAACGCCATTTTCAGATCTTTTTTTTGAGATCGAAAACAAACCCTGCGTGGCATATTAAATATATTAGCTAGTATTTAATCTCCAATTGCGACACTCATTAAAACCATATCGACAACATGGTTTGCTGCTTTAAAAAGTGCCCTCAGGCTGTTAAAACACGAGTAAGTAGATTCCCGCTGGGGCTGCAGTTTGTTGGGCTCCAGTGTCGGATCGCTCACAGTCAATGACTCCCCTTGTCATCTATGGCGTATTCCCACTTGCCTTTTCTTCTCTTTCTGGTCACTCCTTACGCCTCGTAGCAACTCATAATTTAATGATGAAGACGGGGGGGAAATCTCAAAGCAGTTACAATCAATTGGCAGTGTGAGGGGGAAAAAAAAAACCACTGAGCGCTAAATGTACACAGCAGACAAAATGAGCAACTGCTGATATCGACCCTATTTAGTGTTTTGATTATTTAGCGAATATTGGAGTCACCGCAAAATTAATGCAAAAGCAATGTGAATTTTTTATCGGACGATGTTATAAAACGTAATTATCTATATAATACCAGGTTTTCGTTGACTTTGGTCAGTGTAAAGCTAACGTTAGCCGCCGGCCCCCGAGTGAAGCGAACCGCCCGCTGGCTGGAGCTTCCTGTTAAGGACACATTTCAAGGCCCTTTTTTGTCCAACCAGCAGCAAGAATGCAAATGAGTCCACGTCCTTTATGTCCATGCTACATTTCTAGTTACGTTTGCCTACATTATGAGTCGCCTCAAACCTGCGTCTGTGTGTTCCCGCTCCGCTGCCTGGTCAGGCCGAGTCAATATGTAACCCGGCCGCGTCGCCTGCTGTAGAGAAACCCAGCACCTCTTTCACATGCATGCCACATGCCACATGTCAGGTAATCTGTCTCTCTCGTTTTGCCTCTCATTTCTGTTGCATCAGCAATCCATCACAGCTAATCTCCGTTGCATTATCGCTCCTGCTGCCGCCGTTCCTCGTCCCGTCTCTCAAACCGTTAGAGGAGTCTTTCTTTTTAAGTGCCTCTTTGACTTTGATACACGCATAATGTGCGTGTTGACGGAAATGAAGACAAAGTGGAATCGGAGGTCCCTTCTCGGAGGAAAAGAACCAGGGGAAACGCAGACGTCCTGTTTAGTTTTCTGCCACTGAGCCGTCGCACTATTGCAGTGACGTGACCCGCAATTTTGTTTTCAATCAGAAGACTGAGCGAAATGCTAACGATCTATTTTGTCGTGGCAACAGCTAGTTTTTTATTTTTTCTTCTTCTTCTTTTTAAACCTCTGTGCTGGAAGCTCTTTAATGTTGACTTTATATACACTTTCAGATCATATTCTTAATGCAACACCACGGGGGATATTGAAATCTTTCCCGCTACATTTCACAAAGCAACTCACGGAGTAAACAATAGAAAAGTAAATAAGGAAATCTTTCATACCTGCGTTGCCACGCGGCTGTCAAAAAGTGCTCAAGGCGCCCTCAACGCGACAAATGTAGGAAGAAGACGTCTTTCCAATTTACCATAAAGTCCCTGATATTGAGTTGCAGCGCCGCTAAAATTCATAACGATTGCCTGAACAATTTTTTTTTAAGAGGTAAATTATTTTGATTGGATGATACCTCTAAGTGCTGCAGGCTGCTTTTTAAACACAGCCACTGGGCTCCACCTAGAGAGTATAATAGCAAATCCATGCTGTCTCCCGTTAAGTTTCCAATCCTCCTCTTGTAAGCAGTGAATAATCTCCACGTAGCCTGGGGGAACCTCTGAAACTGTTAAAGTATTTCAGAGAAAGCGGCTTTGGCTCTGATTTTTATATATATATATTTTGTTCATGCGGAGGAACGGCTGTCCTCAAGGAAGCCGCTCGCTTTAATGGTTACTCATTTGAATAAAACCCGAGGTGCCTCTGTCCTGCTCCCCAACTCCCCCCCCCCCCCCGAATGGCCTCCGATTCAATTCTGTCACAAAGGATCAGCCGTCATAGGAAGTATTTGTCATGTTGTCGGCTTGTTGGTCCTGTGTGTTGCTCGCAGAGGCCGCCGCTGCCCTTTCTGCAGCTAAATAGCCGCCGCGGGTCGAGCGTCGGCTGCACTAATCAAACCTACATAGCACCGGCCCTCCCCCAGGTTAGAACGCTACCCCCTGTCCGTGTCTGCATGCGTGTGCATGAGCGTGTCCTTCACCTGCCCTGTACTGCTTCCACTTGTGAAAAGTTCTGTTAACAATGAGCTGCGTGAACGTGAGAAAAGAAGGTTAAACGTTACAAATGACCGCCTCATGGCCCTTCGTTCATGGCCGGTAGATGACTACGTGACAATGAATGAAAGCCCACGAGGAGGTGTACAGACTTGATGTGGATTGTTCAAAATGCCAAACTGTTGTTTTAGGGATGGACAGAATAGTTTTTATTTCTTCACGCACTCTCGAAAAAGACATTTCTTTTCACCTGCTTTCATAAATGAAGAAAAAGGCATTGTGGCAAAACTCCTGGAGGTTCACCGATAAAAGAAGGACATTGGGACCTTAAGAAGACTATCCAGGCAAAACCTTGCTTGTTTTTTAAGTCCTAAACACAAGGGGAGAAAACAATTTAGAAGGCACTTACAATTCATTTGTTTTCTCACTTGTTTGTGTGCGTTTTAGAGTGGATTCGCTCGTATGTGCACCGCTCCTTTTAGGCTTTGCCTCGTCCGAAAAAAAATGAAATCCCAGTTAAAGCTTTTACTGTTAATGAATTGGATTTTTTCCCCTGATGCCAGCTTTTAAGAGTCCAATTTCTCCTCAATTATCCCTCAAACATTCTCCCAAGTGTCTCGCTGCCAATGTAGAGAGGACAACTTGATAGGACAGCATGACGCGAAGAACCGCTAACAGCGGTATCTTCTTTTCCAAACGCCAGACTTTCTGGCAACGTCCTTTTTAGCTCCATCGTTGCAGAGAAACGTTGGAGCTCACTCAACGCATCGACCACGCACATCTCGCCGTGGTTGTGGTTTTGCCAAGATTTTGTTTTCTATTTAAGAAAGAAGTACTTGAAGTTGTTCTTTATTCCCCCCCCCCAAAAAAAAAGCAAAGAAGTGCCCTTTTCTTCACCAGTCTCATCTCTAAACAGATGGTGTTTCATGATACAGCATATGGTCCGGCTTGTATTCTCTCACAGCGCTTTTGACTCGGTTTGAATTTATCCATATTAATGAGATTTAAACACGATGCCGTACCCTTCGCTGTGCGCGATTGGACGTGACCCACATTCATTTGCTTACTGCGGGTGCGTGATGTGGAGCAGAGGGATTCACCTGCATGTCTGTCCCGTGCGCCGCAGTCGTCGCTGACGGACTCCAGCAAGGAGAGAGCCGCGGCGCAGACGAGGGACAACAAGGACAAGGTTGGTGTCTTCAATTACCCTCCACTGACAACTTGAATCAGTGTTTTTTTGGGAGTTTCCCCCCCCCTCCCCCCCGTGCCCTTGTTCCCCCGTCAACTTTTCGGAATCAGGTTTGATCAACATCAACAGCGCTTGCGTTCGGCTCCTCACAAAGAACATGTCGTCGAAGGCGGCGCTGTCACTAGATGAAGCTGTCCGTCAGAAATGTGCTGTCTTCTAAAGTTGTTGCCCTTTGTCTCTTCTCCGTAGGAGGGTTACAGTCACAGTAGACTTTTCCTCCGCCTCTCCCCAACTAACCCTTTCACTCCTACCCCGTTTAAGGTTTGTGGGTCTCTGTGTTGTGCTTTCCACTTTCCCCTCCCGTGCAGTAAACGTTGATTCAGCATGACGGCGCACACGCGTGCAGTACACACCCCTACATGTGCTAACATCCCTGCCGTCCGATTTCCTTGGTGCATTTTTGTCAAGTCTGGATATTGTTTTTGCATTGTGTTTACTTAATGGATGTTAATATCTTTTGGCTTGATATCATACCAAATATTTTGTATGTGTGATTTGTTGTCCTTGTTTTTCAGGTAAGTGAACATATGATTGCTGCATATTAGATTTCTTTAGACTAATTCGGTGATTAAGTAATTAGATCAATATTAATTACGCCATTACATTTAGCATTTTTAAATAAAGTAGACACAATTTCAGTACAGTTATTTTCCAATTAACCTAAATGAACCTCTGGCATCCATTTGAAAACATATCACATAATTATTTTTCAGCTTAAAACTAATATCCCGCTCCAGGTGATAAAGCATTTAATTCTATTGATTCCATCACCAGCGCTCATGAGCCTTCCCGTTTCTGAAAACCTCATTTCAAGCTGCTTCTAAACTTAAAAGAATAAAGACATGACATTCTTCCCTCTCCTTACCTTCCACTAATACACCGCTTTTTTCTTTTTTTTAAAACTCCATCTGTGGCGTGACAGCCTGTGAAGCGTGAAGCGGCAAAGGCATCTCCCCCCAGCCCTGTCCTCCTCCTGCCAGTGGTGCCCCATGTGGGAGAGACTGATACAGACACGCTGACAGAGATCCCAGGCAGACCTGCAGAGGAGGAGGAGGATGAGTTTGGATACAATTGGAGTGAGTTGGATTTCTGTTTTCCTCTGGTAAAAATTATATATATTCCGTTTGCAACAACAGTAAAAACATGTTGTCACGTTCGGTTTATTACACTTGGTCTGTTATAATTCCTCCGCTAAATAATAGTATAGTATTTGTAGACAGAAACCATATTTAGTTACTTACTTTGTGCATGTGTTATCCCCCAACTGCCACTAGAGGTCCCCCAAGGTTCATTTATTTTCTCCCCTGCGCACAAAATCGTCCCGAGTCTGCAGTGAAAACAGAACAGACTCTGGTGCTCGAGGTGCTTGTACTTCGGCGAAAGCTGAAGGACTCATTAGCATGACGCAGACACTCAAATGTCAACTGCAGGATGAAGGAGGATGAGGTCACACAGTCAGTCCCATTCAACAACCAGCATAAAGGACACACTTCCAGCCTCTGAACACCTGGGACTGTGGTGAATGTGTGTGTGTGTGTGTGTGTGTGTGTGTGTGTGTGTGTGTGTGTGTGTGTGTGTGTGTTCCCATCCTGCGGGGATACGATTGATGAGGTGGGGCCCGGGGAGGTGAGTTGTGGAGATAAGTACAGGACTGATGGTCCAACAGTGGCAGGGCGCCCAGAACAACAGGATCCCATCGGTCTGAACAGCGGCTATCTCACACACCAGAGACAGGAGAGGTGGAGAGAGAGAGAGAGAGAGAGAAAGGGTCAGTGGGGGTAACAATAGAGACACGATTGAGACAAAGAGATAGAAACTAAGCAGTGTGACATTTTAAACTTTTTTAAACAAGAAAATCAATCCAAACACAGACACACACACCTCTCTTTCCGACTCACACCGACATGGAAGTTAGTGCTCGAAAAACGAATCTGGACCAATTCCGCCGGATTGCCAGCTTACATGTGTCCGCTACTTGGACTTGACCTCCTCTCTCTTTCAGAGAACATAATCCAGCGCTACGGCAGCCTCCCGGGAGTCCTACACATGATTGAGCTGGAGAAGGGCAAGACAGGCCTGGGCCTCAGCCTGGCAGGGAACAGGGACCGCTCTCGGATGAGCGTCTTCGTGGTGGGGATTGACCCCAACGGGGCGGCCGGCCGGGACGGGCGCATGGTAGTCGGGGACGAGCTGCTGGAGGTGAGTTGCTGTGTCGATGGTGGGTCTCACCCCTCGAACATATATGATCTATTCCAGAACGTACACACACTTCTGATGTTTTGCCGCATGTGTCTGTAACTGGTATGTTTTGGGCGTCCCGTCAGATCAGTGGGCAAGTGCTTTATGGCCACAGCCACCAGAACGCTTCCTCCATCATCAAAAGCTCCCCATCGCAAGTCAAAATCATCTTTGTCAGGTATTCAAACCCATTTTATTCCTATTTCAACCACTATGAATACATTACCATGGCAACAGTCACTTCATTGCACTGCCTGACGTCTTATGGTGAGAAATCTTCAATTCTATTGCAATTTGGTTCAAAATCCAATAGAGGGAGCTATTGTAATTCAACACTAATGTGCAATTCAGTGATGAGAGTTAGGATCATTATTTTAAGATGCCAAACATCTAACACATCTAACCCTGTGCACATTTAAAAAAAGGGAAGAAGTAATATAATATATATATATATATATATATATATATATATATATATATATATATATTGCTAAAACGATGTTTCCCACAAGTGATTTATTTATTTAGTGTATATAGTTACGCATCCCTTTCCCGACCCCTGAATGACACACTGTGATCATCCCGCGTGGTTTACGCCAGTCCCGACTCTTTGGAACAGGAACACGGAGGCGCTGGACCAGATGGCGGTGGGACCTGTGAGAGAACCCGAGGGAGACACAGTGGAGCCGCACACCGAGGTGACTCATGGCAGCACACATTCAGAAAACGCAGCGGCAGGACAATGATTTTGGAGATGTTAGAGTGCGAAGTCCCGTCTGCATAACAAGCGATAGAACTCAAACCACAAGCCATTACAATTACTTATACCCTTGTGTAATTGACAGTGTCTTCATGCATGTTCTTACTCCTATAAGTGTGTTTGTGTGGTCCCGGTGTTGCCATGTGTCTAACGCCCAGGGAAAATGTAAAAACCACGTACACACGTGTTCCCTGGCCAGCAGACCCAAACACACGCTTCACTTTTATGAACTGCTGCCCGTCTCGTCACAGCTGGAAACCACTGCTGCTAATGGTGATGCCGATGCTTCAAAACATGTGCATCACAGCATGGAGCTGGAGGTGAGATACACTGAACAACCCCCCCACACACACACAACACATTGGACAATCCTGTCTTTTTGAAAAACCAAAATAAAGACAATAATAGAGAGGAAGCAATGCTATAATGAGGGAGGATGTACACAGATAAAGCCCACTGGGGTATGACAGAGAAGGAGAAGCGGAGCATACAGGAGCAGTCGAGTCTGACAGGCTGCCGGCAAAGAGGAGGGAGACAGTTCGTCAAATAAAAAGGGGGAATAAACCAAACAACACATGAATGGTAGCAGAGCCGTTCCCACAGAAAACTGCTTACAGGGAAGTCTGTGGATGATTCCACATGTTTGTGTCTGGGTCTGTCTTCCGTACGGTCAACTGATATCGACAAATATATATTGGACAAATCGTACCATCTACTTAACCATGCCGAGCATTGGACCCGGTCGGGGAGAGTGGCGTCTTTGCGCTGGTGTGTGACGAGGAGCCCCGGTGTGCGACTATCCAGATGCCCCCGTCGGGCCCCCGGGGAATGACGCGACAGCATCTGGGCCGCTCGTCGACACCAACACACAGAGACCCCCGCCGGGGGAACACGCCATCAGCAGTGTGAAGGATGTACGGGCAAAGCTGTGACTAATTGTCCTTCTGGAGATATTGTGGTGATGTCAGTGATGCTTGTTTTCGGTTAGCTGTGCAGCTGCTTAGCAGTTAGCGTCACAGCCGCGTGCCGGCCTGCATTCTTGCTGTTGATGTACTACAGGTGATGCTATCAGTTGAAGAATCCTAGTTACGCACTATTGTCTCTCCCCCACAGGAGGACGGGGTGATCGGCGGCACATATGTGGAGGGAAACCCCGACAGCGGCGACGCACGTCAGAGTGCGTCAGCGGTGGAAGGCCAGGTATGTGTTACGGTCGATGGTTTGTGTGCACCACGCAGGTTCTCTCCAATCATCACTGGGATCTGCTTCTCACAGGAGGGCTGTTTAAAAGCAGCGGACAAACTCCCAGCTGTGAATGGCGATTTACTGCCGGGCTACACTGTGGAAAAGGTAGTGTGGCTGGAAATAAACTGTCCATCGTCATCTCATGTTACCTATACAGACAAGTTTCCTTCTCCGTAGGAGAAGCGACCCATCAATACAAATGAGAGCCTCCCTTCCTTCTCTTTGCTCCAGTCCACCTGCCAGGACGGGGAGAGCGCGGTGGATTTATATGTAAGCTTACCCAGCATGCCCAGTGACACAGCAAGCACCCCGGGTCAACCGCAGGCGGAAGCCGACACCGGTGAGTCGGGCGTTGAGAAGTCGGACGTCCCGTTTAGTGAGATCGATAATGGACCAACAGACTTAACACGTCCTCCCTCTATTGTAGTTCAGAGTCGCTCTTCCACCCCTTCCACTCTGGCCTGTGACCCGACGACCTGTCCCATCATCCCCGGCTGTGAGACCACCATTGACATCTCCAAGGGCCGAACGGGCCTGGGCCTGAGCATCGTGGGAGGCTGCGACACCTTGCTGGTAGGTGACATGAAACAGACCATGTTTCACCACAAACAAACACAAACAAGTGACTTGATTTTCTAACACAGATATGGTGGATATATACTTATTTGCACTTTTCACAGTCTACAATCTTTTCTTAAATAACCATTTTCGGGTTACCGCCCACTTAGAACCTTTGCTTGTGGTGTATTACCCGGGTTCAAAATAGCCCCCGGCGGCTCAGGAATGCACGAAAACGATGTTGTCGCGGCCTTCCTCCTCGTCCGCACCTCGGCCCGTCTATTCTGTCTGCTCAGTCAGGCTCGGGGGAGCAGCTCTTTGTCTGGCCTCGGCCGCAGCAGACAATATCCAGCCCTGGAATGTAACCTCTGAACCCCAAATGACACACACACACACACCGGAACGCAGAGAGAACACTCTGAGTCAGGAACATGTCCCTTCGGAGTCATAATTCAAAACAAGGACTGTCTGCTGTCAAGTTATTCGAGTGTGTCAAATCTTTCTCTGTGCTCACATGGTCGACTTTCCTGCTTATTGACTCTCATATACACGCACACACAGATTAACTCCAGATGAATCAGGACTCCTTCTCCTGGTCTGTACTCATTTGCGCTCTCTTTTTCCCCTCTCACCCCAGGGGGCCATCATTATCCATGAAGTCTATGAAGAGGGAGCAGCCTCAAAAGACGGCAGGCTCTGGGCCGGAGACCAAATCCTGGAGGTGCAGTGCCGTATAATGAGCGTCACATACGACCTAGTTTAAAAAAAAAAAAAAAGGCATAGCGCATTTCAATAACTCGAGACGCGGCAGCTCGTGGATCTGCAACGCGAGAGCGAAGGTTCCCAATTTCACTCGGGGATCAAATAGTGCACATCTCAAATGTATATAAAAGCTGCGACCAAAGGAATCGGATTCGCACCCAAACGAAGTCATGAGTTGTTTGAGGACTGAAGAATGATTCTGAGTAAAAATTCAGAGGGAAGTACCAGCTCGTACGAGGGTGTGTGTGTGTGTGTGTGTGTGTGTGTTACATGGAGAGACAAGACAAGCATCCCTGCTCAACTTGGATTTGCCCTGCGTTCGACCTGCTTTGTCACAGAGGGAGGGCGGGGGTGAAGCCCGGGAGGTTTTTTGTTATGGTGGCTCAATCAGTAGACCTTCATTTGAAAAGAGCACACATGCATACACGCACGTATAGACACACACTTAACGACTTAATTGCCCCCCTCCCCCCAATCCAATCCCCCCCCCCCGCCGCGCTATTCGCTTCTGTCCGAGAGCCAAGCGGTTGTGTTTAGAAAACACGGTCAGAGTGGAAAAGTAAAAAGAAGAAAAAAAAAGTGGCTTCCCAGTCCACTGCGAAGCCATTAGCTGCTATGGGAAAAATATTCTTTTGCCTGTCCATGGCGAGGGCTAATGGGGTATTTCCCCCCCTTAATGTGGTTGAATAAGCTGGACACAAAAACTGAGCACTTCAGATTTTCCCAGACGTTTCCCAGACGGCTCCCACTTAAGTTGAATGTGTCGCAGCATTTTCATATTGTGATCCAGTGTTCCGACAGCTCAGCTGGCCAAAGAACACATGCAAACTCAGCGCCTTTTGGGAGCGTTCTGTCTTTCCGTCAGCACTGCAAAACGCTTTGTATCAAAGGGTCTCCGTCGTTTACATGTGACCGACACTCAGACCTCCTTTCGTCTGGTCACAGGTGAACGGCATCGACCTGCGTGCAGCCAGCCACGACGAGGCCATCAACGTGCTGCGGCAGACCCCGCACAGGGTCCGGCTGGCGGTCTACAGGGACGAGGCCCAGTACAAGGAGGAGGACCTGTGGGACTCCTTCACCGTGGAGCTCCACAAGAAGCCCGGCCAGGGCTTGGGCCTGAGCATTGTCGGGAGGAGGTGAATACATATGTGTTATTAGCTCCACCGCTTGGCCAGTGCTACTTTAATCGATGAGACCTGAGTGGACCAGTAAGTGTCAGAATGCTGGACATTTGGATGTGACTCTAATATCAAATTCAGAAAATGTTGCACTACAACTATATAGATTTATGTATTTTAGAATGGCATTGGGGATATATTGAACACAATCAGCAAGTAATATTAACTGTTTGAACTTTCTTTTTTAATGCAGATCACGGGACGAGAGGTAAAAAAAAAACTGTTTAGAAAGTGTGTAGTGTAGAGACAGATCTCGTACAAACACACCAGGACTTTTAGATCTGCTAATGCATTGTAAACCTACTGTTTTTCAATCCCACTTCATGGTTATGGGTCTGTGGGATTTATCAAACATTGCAGAAATGCGAGCAGCCGCGGTGGATCTCTGCATCATTTTTCCAACCCTTTAAATATCTGTAACGATAACTCCAACGCCGACATGCAAAGCTTCTTATTAGCCTCGGGATCTGTTTCAGTGGCACCGGTGGGGATCATGGGGTGAGACAGGGCCGTAAACAACCCGCGGTTACATCTGAGAATGTTCCTACTTCTGCTCCCATTAAAGCCGGGGAGGAAGATTTACTGAAGACGGGCAAATTGGAAACCTTCTTCCACACAACCCTCCACCGAGGCTCCTCTTCTCGCGCTGTCATTCGTGGGTTAAAGCTCATGACGGGTGTGTGCTGATTGATCTCGCCCCTGGGATAACACTTAGGAACGGCTTATCGAGACCACACATGCATAGGCGCTGATGGTTATATGTGTGCGTGCGTGTGAGTGGATTTAATCTGGATTCGTCCCAAGTCCACGGTGAAAAGGGCCAAGTCGGGGTCATGGGTTGAACAGCTCGGACAGCAGCAGGCGTATCGACTTTTAAATGTAAATCTTTGCCTCTGTCACAGTGGTTTTACTCCAGAGGAGGAAAAAAACAAAAAAACATGCTCAACAGTATGGAAAAGGCAACGACGTAGCCGCCTAAAACTCTCTGCTGAAATGGAAAGTGCAAGCAAGCGGTTAGTGGTGAGGGGAGGTGACAGCCAACTGTCTCTGGTGCTGAGCGCTGCACGATCATGTTGCTTTGCTTCACAGCTTGTGTGCGTTTCAGCCACGTGGAGATTTGTACTTGTGATATGCAAAGACAACAGTAGCAATGTCCTCTTTTAGGGGGGGGGGGGGCACGAGCAATCCTCATGTTAACTTAATGCTCAGAGAAAGCAAGAAGGCTGTGACCATATCGGGCTTTGGCTTTAGGCAATCAAGAGCGATATGTATTTTCCTGACACAAACCCAACTGGACTCTGGTTACCACCCCCCCCTTTATGCCCCCCTTTTGTTGGCAGGGGTGAAAGGAAAACAGATGGTCATCAGATGACTGTCAGTCAATTAAGCAAGCGCCTTGACACGTGTGTCAAGAGGGCTTAACAAAATCCTCAGTATATCATTGGTGAAGGATTTACTAGAAGCTATAACTAATACATGTATAAGAGGAAAGTAGAGAACTAATCATTAAAGCACATTTGGCGGCTTCTCACTTGTTGTGGCTGACTGCAACATGTCAGCGTTATGCAGGATTCGTGATGGAAAATAGATGGGGGGGCCATGAAACACACCCTTTCCTGTTAAATATTCCGTCTCACCAGCAGTCCGCTGCTTCCCAAGCGCGTAAGCCACGTTTGTACAAAGACCCACGGGGGGGACATGTGGAATTGCCGGATTAATGGCGTATAATCCATCACATGCTCAACCAGAGTCAGCGGTGCGACACGGTGCAGCCCTCTTCCAGTGCGCGCCGCCTCACCGCCGTGTCCGTCTCTCGCCAGGAACGACACGGGAGTGTTCGTGTCCGACATCGTGAGGGGGGGTTTGGTGGACACCGACGGCCGCCTGATGCAGGGCGACCAGATCATGTCCGTCAACGGCGAGGACGTCCGGACCACCACTCAGGAGGCCGTGGCTGCACTACTCAAGGTAGTGAGCGACCCCCCCCCCCCCACCCTCCCCCCATCCAAACTGTGCTGGATAACGGCTCTCAAAAAACTGTGCCTTGTGTTGCAGTGCTCTGTGGGGCCAATAAACATGGATGTGGGGAGGTTTAAGGCGGGCCCCTTCCACTCAGAGAGACGGCTGTCTCAAAGCAGTCAGGTACTGTGTTTTCACGTGGGATTTTTTCGGGATAATTTGTTGTTTTTTTAAAACGAGACGAAGGAAGCAACGTAGCTGAATATCTGCGTTTCAGATGAGTGAAAGCGGCAGCCCCAAGGGGCCCTCTGTGTCATGCTCCGACTCTGGGAACCTTCCCGGTGACCATGACAAATTGAGTCGGAGTCCAGAGCGTAAGTATCCTCTTAAGTCCTATTCCTTCTCAGCGGCCATGGGAAGAAAAATAAACTGCGGGCGCGGCATCGCAAACATTTCGCCTGTTTACGCTTTCTCACAGCTCCGGAGTACCAGGAAACCAGAACAGTGGAGTTCATCAAAGGTCCCAGCGATTCTCTGGGTGTCAGCATAGCAGGGGGCGTGGGAAGCCCCCTGGGGGACATCCCCATCTTTATCGCCATGATGAATCCCATCGGCCTGGCTGCTCAGACGCAGAAGCTCAAGGTGCGACATTTACGCCCTCCTCTCGGTGACCTTTGTTCGGCTTCCAGCGGAGCTCGCATGCCAGTCCGCTCTTGTGTGGGGTTCAACATGAATGTGAATTATGTACAGCGATCGCATCCCCACTCACTTTCCTCCTAGTTTGTGACTCCTAAAGGTCAAGGGCCTTTAGGAGTCAAATGGCAGAGAGGCTGACAATTGTGACTCTGTGTCACACAGGCCGCCGGAGGACAATAGCTATTGCTAACTCGGATAATAAATCTCCCACTCCTGCATTCAAACCACGACGCCTACAGAAGGGCTCATTGAAATGAATGGAGGGGAAATATTGAATAGTATATTCATGGTGCTTTCTCCTCCTCAGCCAGAATGAGAGATGAGAACGCCGCATAATGAAATTATTCAGCCGAACACTGGCTTTTGTATGGCATGGTGAATTGAATTTTCAAAAAAGTATTGGCCGCACCCGGTTATCGTGCAGAGTTATCGTTAGACCTTTGTGAAGAGCACCCGTTTTACGCTTCTCAAAAAAGCACCTCGCTGGTGATACTCGCATATGCATTCTTGATTTGGGGACCTGGGGGAACACTTGAGAGGGAGAGACACCTTTTGTTACATTTGAATTGTTGCAACCCAAACAGTGATGTGCTTACTTCACTGCTTAATGGCCCAAAGTGTTTTTTCTCTCATGTGTCCTTTTGTGTATTTTACTGAAATATCACTTTTCCAGATCGGGGACCGCATTGTCAGTATCTGTGGAACCTCTGCGGAAGGCATGACCCACTCGCAGGCGGTCACTCTGCTCAAGAACGCCACAGGCACAATACAGCTGCAGGTCTCCAATCACACACACACACACACACACACCTCTCTGTTCTAATGAGATAATGTAATTCATCTATGTACAAGACTTGCGGCAGACTTTGAAGTTCCATAAAACTACCACCATATCGGCATTTGTGTTGCAAGTCTCCCGCACCATAAAACCGTGTGTCTGTGTGTGTCTGTGTGTGTGTGGTCTCTTGTGCACCTGCAGGTGGTAGCGGGCGGGGACACCACCGTGACGGGTCCCCCTCAGGAGCAGGCGGCTGCAGGTCTCACGCCCAGCTGCATCTTCCAGGATGACCTCGGGTATGAACTGTTTATTAGACATTTTAACGTGTCGGGACACCCGTTTCACCACGAAAATGTCATTCAAATGATTTGAAGCGAATGTAGTCAGGGTAGCCCCTATGTCTCTGTCTTTCCATCAGCCCACCTCAGTATAAGACCATCAATCTGGAAAGAGGACCAGACGGACTGGGTTTCAGCATAGTGGGAGGCTACGGCAGCCCCCATGGGGACCTGCCGATCTACGTTAAAACTGTTTTTGGAAAGGTACGCCTCACATTTCTTTCTTTATATATTGAGCAGGATTGAAGAAGCATTTGTGTGTGTGTGATTAAGCTTAAAAAGTCCCCCTGTGTGTACGTGCGCGCGCTCAGGGTGCAGCAGCGGAGGACGGCCGCCTGAAGCGAGGAGACCAGATAATGGCCGTTAACGGGCAGACTCTGGAGGGCGTCACTCACGAAGAAGCCGTTGGCATCCTGAAGAGGACCAAAGGCACCGTCACTCTCACTGTGCTATCATAAACACACACATGTGCAATAACCCGCAAACACGCCTGTTCTTACACTTTTAATCCACACCCAATGTTCATCCACATCAATAGAGAGCGAAACTTTAATGGAGCGACACACCTCGCCGGTGTGACGTCATCACGTCTAGGTGGAGAAGAACTCAAACCGGCAACTGTTTCACCACTGGATTGCTCTGCTAAAATGACCAGATGTTCATCTGTGAAAATATGCACACTGAAATTCATTCATGAAGGAGCTTAATGTAGCTTTGAACACTGTGATCCACGTAAGATTTATGCACGTCTCATAATAAAATTGCTTTTATCACTGAAAGATCCAGCCCAAATAGTATGTAAAATACATACATACATTTAGAAATAGTTTGCCATACAGTGTTTTAACTAGTTGTATATATCTCAAACATGTGATGAATAGTATTCGAATTATAGCCCCGTTCAGTTACATTCCGTGGATCTGGATCCAAAGTATTCACTTGACAAAGGGGTATTTAGCGGTTCCCTTGCTTGTGAGATCATTATTTTACACAAGTGCAAAATCGGAATATTTCTAGGAGGAGGAGCAGATTCTTCAAGGTTTTGAAACAGTAAACTACTTACAAGGAGTCCCCTTACACTAAATTAAGAGCATGAAACGCCTGTGAAGTCATTAACAGATAATCAGAATCTAGCCAACGGCTGTATTAGCTGATAACAGCATTATTTGTCTTTTACATTGCACTGCTCACGCTCACTGATTTCATGAAAGGCTGATGCTGCTGCTGCTGTAACTGGTTGTAGAAAAATGGCCAATGGAGCGTTTTTATGAAGTGCTAATGGCTAGAAGTCTGATACCGTAAATATATACAGAAAGAGGTGAAATCCTTAAGAAGTGTGGGTTAAGTGCACATTTGACAAGATGAGGAATATGTATGACTTGCTCACTGAAATATCGTGCTGCTAAAGCCAATATACAAGGTATTATCTCAGTATTTTCAATTTTCGTTTGAAGTATTATGCATTTTCCCTAGATGAAAGAGCAAATACAATAACATGCTATCTAGGGAGTGGACATGTTTAATTTGTCAAATGACTATATAATGGACCTTACTGTATACCCTGTATACTGTATAAGTCATGTAGTGTGTAGTTCCTGAAGTCATTAGGCTTGTGTTGTGTGATCTAGTTTATCCGAAAGTTGGAAATGTGACAGTATTGAATTTGTTCACACTGAATTAAATAAAAGTGACCTTTGGATTAAGTCATCTGTTCCACTTTGTCTTCGTGTGTTTTTTCACCCAAACACAATTTAAAAAACAGAAAGCAAGCTTGTTTAATATCGGCCGATACTAAAATGAAACACAGGGCAACTTCCCAAGAGCATCAGCTCCAACTGCTAGTTGCTAAATACTTAGAGGATACATCACATGGATTTATTTCCCATCCAGGAGACAGAACCAGCTGGTCGCATTCGAATGAAAGGCAAACGGTTTGAAGAAAAGCTAAAACTCGTCAGAGTTGAATGCATGTGATGCACAAGATTCAAAGATATGGAATAATATGGCCATGTGCGACAGCACGTGGACTTGCTTGAATGGACTTTCTGTTCTCACTTGAGACTTCAATAAAGCTGGATAGCGAGAGAGAGAGATCTATTCAAACATGGCACCCCATCTGACTACACTGACAGGCACAGCCGCTCCCCAGCCGCCATGTCTGGTGGTTTTGGTCCTCTGTGACTGGGTTTTTTTCGGGTTTCAGTGGGCTGTACAAGTCTAAAGTCCATCCGCTCGACTGTTCGGTGACTCCTTCACCCCCCTGACCCCCCCCCGCAGCAGTCGAGCCTCGACACAGTGGCCGGCAGCTGCCGCTGTCTAAACCGCGAGCCCGGCTGCTGCCGCCGTGCAACCCGGCAGCTGAGCTCTCCACAGGCACCTGTTGTTTTGTTTTAATGGTCCCCTGTGGGGTTCAGAGGTTAGCACGGCCTCCCCCCCCCCTGCCTCCCCACCCCGGGTTCAGCAGACGCTTGTTGGTTTTACACACGAGACATGTCCGCACAGGCCTTTCAGATGTGGGATCGGGTGTTACCGCCGCGTCACGCTTGGCTCGAATGTGGGCTCAGGGTGTAAAGATCCGCGTCAGGCGGCGCCAAAGCTAAAGACTGCATTATCGAGGTGTCAATCAGGCCTCTATCAACATTTTCATGGGATCTTACCATGAAGAAGACTTCTTTGTTGTTCTCACGAGCAAGCTGTAACAAAGACACTTTCATTCAGTTTTTATGTCCGGCTCGGTGCCCCCTCCCCTCCCTCTCCCCCCCTCTTCCCCCCTGCTACTAAAGCGTCTCACCCCACAGCTTTAGATGCAGTGAGATAAGTTTGTCGCTGCCCATTCAAACATTTCGCCGCTTGGACTCATAGTGATTCATGCTGGCTCCACACTGGCTATGAAGAGGTTAAGCAGGCAGAAACCTAGTGGATGATCGGGCCATGATGACTCAGCAAACACGCCAAGAGGGATGCCATCACGCCGGTTAAACAGCTAAAAGGAGTTTTGAATGAGTCCCCGGAGTGACAAGAATGGACCTGACAGAAAGATTCTGTCGCGTTATGACGGACTACATTTCTAAAAATCCTGGCAGCACGGGCCTAAGGAGGGCAACGTCTGTCAGCCGGTCAGCTGAAATATCTCGCTCACTACTGGACGGACCAAGAGCAACAGCGCGTAAAAAAGGTCACTGGCGTCCCACTGAAACTGCGAACACTGCAGACAGTCTACCTGCTGAACATCTTTGGGTTTTTGCCAGCAGTCTTGTACCTTCAGTCTCGCAGAGGAACCTGGACAGATGACACGCTGAGGAGAGCGAGTGCTTCCTTTGTAATTGTTTGTGTAACTAAGGATAGGACACATCCGAGTGTCACAAAGAGCACACGCCAGTTTGAGCGCACACACGCTTGGCTGGACAACATCATTCATCTCCCGACGCTACCCGATCCGGCTCAGACGTCAAGGAAAACATAATTAGACATTAGACACAGTGACCTCCAGGGCCAGGAGATCACTTTTCAAAGGCCTGCCCTCAACAATGACGCCAACTTGCATGGACATACCAGCAGGCGTGATTAAATTTCCACTGCGGCAGTGGTGTAAAATTGCTGCTTGATGTACAGACAAGACAAGACAACACTTTCCCTTCACCAGTATTAGAAGAAAAGCAAACTGAGGCAAACTTTTGACCCCTCTGCTCCGTGAATCGGTTTCCTCCAGTTTATAATTATTAGCTGTCAAAAAAGATTAGCGCATCAGAGACGCACACAGTCCTCTGCATTGTTTGAGTCGGCGTGCACTACTGGCTCCTTAACAATCCCTCCTCCAAATACAGTGGTGTGACTGCCTGACTAATTGGGTGGAGATTGTGTCGACGAGAGAATCTATCCACAGGTTACAAACATGTCAGCCTTTTTTCCCTCCGAGAGAAGACTTATGACTTAACTTTATTGGAGTAGGATTAATGATTCGTTTATCAACCACAGACAAGGGGAGATGAGTCCAAACAATAAGAGCCAGATAAGTCTTACAACTCAAACTACGAATGAATATCATTGCCAGGAGAATGAAAAGGGGGCCTTTGCATGACAAATGTGATCCAGCCCTGCAGGATTTTCATTTGTTTGCTCGAGTTTTACATATCTCACTCCTGTGTCTGGTCTCCAGAGAAAAAAAAGAAAATGCCACAGAATCCTCCCAACATTTAGTCTTTCTGTTCGCACGGTCCAGCTACAAACAAACAAACACCTCCCGTTTGGCTACATAAACCTGAAATTATGCTCAAACCAGCAGGATTTAAATTGCTCACAGGGGCAGCGACAGCTCGGCACGCACTCCTGTTGAAATATAGCCGGGAGTGAACCAAAGGTGACATCATGCCAGATCGGATTTCCTCCTCACCTTTGGCGTGTTTGCACACAGCTGGGTGTGAGGGCTGAGGCTGGTGTTTGCACAGAACACAGAACACATGTTCAATGAGGGAACATCAAACAGTGACGCATGTTTAGCCCCTTAAAACTGCCGTTATTACATGTCGGCAAACACCCACAAGTCTACTCAGCTCAGACTCTCGACAACATGGCACACGAGACGGTTTTAAATGACCCGTCTGTAAACCGCACTCTGTCTCTGATAACAGGGAAGCCGCTTTGCCATGAGGCCACCGCTTGGCCTTAAACACACTTTTGAGAGTCTTCTCTTTGTATGTTTGCATTTCTGCTACAGCTTCAAAATGACATCACCGGGGGGGTGCAGGCCCGATAAGGCAGATCAGATTGTGTAATCATCCTTTTATGTGCTGTGTGTGTAGTAATGCGGTGACGTAACCCCCTTTCGAAATGATCGCGGAACCGAGGGGTGAAGAATCCCCTTTGTTCGCCCGTGAGAGCTGCACACGTCGGACCTTGAGGCCTGAGCTACATGTGAAACCAGCTATCGCATGGACAGAAAGCCGCTAAATACAAAGGACGGCGTGAGAGCCGATGATGAATGCAAAGTACTGTTACCTCATCCTAATACGGATAACTAATTTAACTGAACATTCCTGTCCGTTTTGCGCTTATTTGATTGGCCACAGTCAAGGGTACAGGTGGACCACTTCATAGTCAAGGGATCACTTCAGTCATTCGGAGACGATGATGTCGTTACCAGATCCTTCCAATAGCTATAACAAAAATCGGAAGGCCTCATTCTCTGAGGAGCATGAACCAACAAGCTGCGAGCCATCCCACTAGAGGCTGAAAAACACAGTACTGTAACTGTAAGAAAAAGGTCTGTTAAACCCACCACAATGTGCTTGTTCCACATGTGTTAATGGTCTGTGTTATTGACCGCAAGCCCGTGTTGGTGTAAAAAAACAAAAGGCATCCTATTGATTTTAGGGCTGGATGGAAAAATGAGCAAGCGCTGAAAGGCCATTTGCGCCTCCGGCCCTCGGTGTTATTCGAGCCCATTTTCTCTCTGCGCTCGGCAAACCAGCCCGCGCCATTAAATTGAAGTGTCAAATTAGATGACGTGCCATAAAAAGACGTGTCGTAAAATTGGTACTTGTTCAGGCCTCGACGTGAATGTCTAACTTTTGATTCATGCTAAGCTCTTTTATTTTTATACTGAGGGTAGCATTTTTAGAGCCTGTTATCCATCCCACATTCGCGAGGCTTCGACCCTTATTTAAGACTTGTCGACGATTGCTGTGCATTTTAATGTGCGGTGTTGGAGATGTACTTCGTCTGCAGCTGTAAAATGCCATATTCAAACTTGCCGTCCCGGAGAGATTAAGGCCGGCTTTGATCCGGCATCTCACCAAGTCACTACTTGCATCACATAACCATTATCTCACCTCAACCTAGTGTTGTTGCACTGTAATAAAGACTTGATGAAGTCATAAAACTCCACCTGTGCAGAGTTAGATGGCAACATTTTCATTGGAGGCCTGAAGTAATTTTCTTCCCCATAATGTAACCTGTTTAGTATAGCGCTCCAGTAATGGTTTGAAGATGCCAAACACATACTGGTGAGTTGCAGTGTTAGGATTTTGAGGAAACTCCTGCAAGGTTGCATTCTCATACCGAGCAATAAATCGCAAAAGACGCCGTGTACCAAACCGTCACGTTCCCGCAGGGGAAGACATTTGAATCAAGTGGTGACATTTCATTTAAAAGAGCATTTGTTACGCAGCACAATGGAGGTCCACCTGGTTTTCCTTTATATCTTGCTATCTATCTATGCTGGGTGTCAGCACTCCAGCGGCCCTTGCTTGATTCATGAGGACTCCCGGGAGAGACCACGACATGCTGAACGCAGACCTCACAGCTGCTTTGAAACCTGGACCAGGTGATCCGGTCCATGTCTGTTGGTCCAGTTTGAGTGTTGCTTTTCCAAGACATCCCAGAGGCCGCCTAGTACTTCCTGAGTGGATTCCAACCTTTAAAAGAACAGTCACTGTGTCCTTTAGTCATCGTAAAATCGGGGGCGCAGAGCGAACACAAACCGGTTTCTCCTGCCCGCTCTTTAGTCTACAGTAGTCAGCTGCCATTACGCTCAATGCAGATTTAAGGAAAAACTTTCCGTCTAACTTGCATGGACATGCTACTCGCGAGGAGCCAGAGTGATTCATGCGCTCTTGATATGCAACTACGTTCAATTACATTCCTACGGGCCAGTAAAACCACAGAGGCGTAACCGTGCATCATAGTTTCTGACAATGAAATCAGATTAACTTTGC